AAAAGGAGAAATATGAAGCAACACTAGGGTATATGGATGTGACACAAAAGTCTCACTCCCTCCAGATACCTGATCACTTGGCTAATGAAATTTAATCTCCCTGTGGATGCTAGAAACACCCTCCCAATGATCAATGATTGTGACTGTTTGTGACACATGCAAAGAAATTTCCTAGGGATCCCAGAGCACACCTGGGAACTCGCAGCTTCCAGCTGATTGTACTGGCATAACAGTGAGCCAGTAACTTGGTTTTGGAAATTTGGAAGCTGGAGCAAAGTGTTGAGAGTTAGAGATGCAAGGATGATTGGCTGAGTGCTCTCAAAATTGAAATCCTAACCACGAGTGGGGCTTCACGAGCTTATGGTGAGAGCTGAAAAGAATTTCACATCCGCTTCAGATATTAGCCTTTTCCTTTTCACTTGTCTTGTTCCCTTGATAGTTTTAGGGCGGAGAAAGGTGGCAGTTCATGAAAAGCAGGATATATAGATACTAGACCTAAAGAAGAGTATATCAATCAGTTTTAAAACTAGAAGTTTGACAGGAAGGAAAAGGAGCTGTCGGCATTGCACAGCCACGGAAGTGTATTGGGCACTATACGCTCCAATTGGGTTTGTTATGGGCGCTGTGGATTTGATGATTCATCCTCCAGAGTATCAAGGTAAATCAGGCTCCATCCTGGATAATGAATTAGCGTTCACTCGCCCAGGTTGACAGGAGGATCTTGCCTCCAAGTGGATGTAAGTCATCGAATAATGAATGATCAAGAAATGTTTTTGTCACTCGCAAAATTTGTACCCTACCTATGCCATCATCCAAGAGGTGAGCCCATTTGCACCACCTTACGTCTCTTTGCAGGCTGGAATGGAGAACGGCTTCGAGCAGGCTTCTGTGGTTTTCTTTCTCCTTCGACTTTTCTTGCCACAAGATACATCGCCCGCACCACCTGTCCATTGTCTTGTGCTACATCGCGTCTGGAAAGGTACTCTGAAAACAAAAGCTCATGTTTGTTCGTTTGGTAGATGCACATCAGTCGCAAGTCGCGAGTCTATTGTAAGTAAAGTCGACTGTTTGGTTATCCCATGGACAATGCTCACCAGTGCCACATAAAAGGCTGCAGTTGATACTGTGATCAATAGAAACAAGGAAAAACTTCTGGCAGAGCTACTTGGATCTCATTGCCGACTGCCCTGGACAATGCAGGGCCTCATGATAGGCTTTGATACGAAATGCTCTACGAACAGTGTAAATATTCTAGAATACTTTACTATCTAATGGTTGTTATTTATTTAGATTAATCTTGTATTTATAAATTGTAAACATGTTTATAATTATATAAACTTCCATTTGATTAATTGGATTAATTTATAGGAATAACAAGCAAATCAAGTGTTGGTGCGTATAACATATTATTATTGCATGAATTGACTTAAGCTATATAATTAAACAGCAAATCAAGTTTTAAAATTTACATACTTATATTTTCTCAAATTAAATAAATTTATGTAGCCCTTTTCCTTGAAGGGGAATAAAATATATTATTCTTTCAGAATAGTTTTTTCTTTTCTAAAGGATGAATGAATATTCCAAATGTGATGGATTTCTCTATCCATTTTGTTTTTTTCTCTTACCAACTCTTTGGTATGGCAATGAATATAATTGTGTATATTTGTTAAAATGCTTAAATTATCTATCATATGTAGATTTATTGTTTGTTTTGAGTTGCATACAAAAATATTATGCACACAATCACTTTTCAATTGCTATATTAACAATCAAAATGTGATTATGTATATAATATTTTTGTCATGGGATATACCCTATATACATGGCATGACATCCTATGCAAAACTAATCTCAAACAATATAAGGTCACCACAAATTTAACAAACAATTTTTTGTCTTGTATCATTGAGTGCAGATTTATAATCTCTTGATTGTGATCATCTCTTTACTCTTATTTCACACAACTATGGCTCATTTCTTATAGTTTAGAAGCATAGTTTTATTATAGCATTCCTTTGGTCCCCACATCATATGTTGCAAGAAAAGCATTTAAACCACAATAACACTCTTGAGGTGATACACCCCTTCCTAGCCTCCTAACTTATAGTATTGAGATATCAGTGCAATGTACATTGGTGTAAGTTTTTGAATTTTCATTTTTTGGGAGATCACCCAACCCCAAAATTTGTAACTAATTAAAAAAAGATTGCCCTTGCCCTTATTCTTATTTGTTTTTTTATTACCTACAATTAATCCACTCCAAATAAGGAGGCAAGATCCTTTATTCAGTAATTTATCCTCTAACATCAAAAAAGGCATTCAAAATCTAACTACAAGCCCTAACCCAAAGTTTAAACCCTTAAAAATTTGACATTGAGTCAAATGTAGAAAATTGTATATATGGCACTAATTTAAAAAGGCACCACACATTTTATGTGAGGATAACTAACTACCCAACAAAAGCCACTTTGCATTTTAAAGTTTCTTTGTTTTGAAGGTTAACCCTTAAAAACAAATGTCTACTCTTTTCAAAATTGGTAAAAAAAATTATTTTCTTTACCCCACCACAAATTTATTCTCTAATGTCATTCCACACACAATATTTCTTATTTCGTTCTTGTATTTCAGTCAGGTGGAGAAGCAGAACTGATTGATTTCTACTGATACGGGGTGGGGTAAAAATAGATTTTATCCTTTCTCGATTTTAACTTGGAGATACCCTTGAAAGATGTACGTTTCTGAAGACAACCAGGCAAGTGTTTGATTCCATGCCCGAGCCGGGCTACTGGACGTGGCTCGGAGAGCTCACCGAGACGAAGCGAAGCTCGTGTTTGATCGCCGTCGTGGGTCTCTGCGTACGCCCGCTTCGAATGCCCCCAGCAGCCCCTGAGGATCGAGATGGTGACTTCTGGACTTGTCTAAACTTTGCAGTCGGTATTGTGTTGTGTCCTGGAGGCGATAGTTTTGAGAGAGCTCCTCGCAGTGGTTGAGCTTCACCATCGCATTGAAGTTCTTGAGCGGGTTGGCATCCTCTTCTTGTCCGTCAGACTCTGCTTCATGGCAATGGCATCAGGGAGGTCTACATTGTTAATAGATGGGATTAAGCGTTGAGTAATCGGTAGCCACGAACTTCTATCAATCTTTCCTCACGACATTCTAGGGAGGAAATAGAAACCTTATTATAACCTTTGCGATGTAGGCAAAGAAACATAGAGTCAATCATGCACACCATCCACCAACACCAAAGATGGCTGCCACGCAGTGGAGCCCCGAACAGCACTGTACTCCCTGTGGAACATAGAACGGTGCACAGCTGTGGCCCTTGCCGGCACAACTCTTCAAGGTGAGAGCTGGATCCCCATGATCATCTTCTGCATCACACAGAATCTTAGTGACCAAAAGAGCCAATGAAACCTCACACTCACCAGTGTTAACAGGATGATCTTCAGCGAAGCCAGCTACCTCCTTGTTCTGCCGAGTTATGTCGTAAACCTCTTCTCCTGCAGCACAGGGAATGTGAGTGACCAAGAAACCTGAACCACATCTCACACTCACCGATATTAGCAGGACGAGCAGATGCCATAAACGTTGCCATGGTGCATGCTACAGCAAGAAAAAGAGTAAAGCGGAGAGCCATTGGCATGAGACTGGATACAACCGATTGAATGAGCGCTAGGAATCTTGGAAGCCTACAGTTTATATATTCTAGAGCTGGTTATATTTAAAACGTGCTGCTGCAAGCAACCAATTATATTGAGCTACGTGTATGCTTGCTGTAAAACATTGTACATAACGTAGTATGTATTCACATGCTATATGTCAGCTTTAACACTGGCCAGAGCTGCAAAAGAAATTGTCCGAATCCTAAATCTGTGACACTGAGACTATGTAAACAGTAATAAAATATATTATGTTAGTTGAAAATGAAATATTGTGTGCGGAATGACATTGGTGGAATGGCATGAATTTGAGGTGGGGTAAAGAAAATAATTTTTTTTTTACCATTTTTGAAAAGGGTAGAAATTTGTTTTTAAGGGCTAACTTTCAAAACAAAGAAACTTTTAAAATGCAAAAGCTTAAAGATTTTGAAAGTTCTTTTCTTGTCCTTGACTGTCAAGTGGCTCTTGTTGGGTAGTGGGGATGGTTCTTCCTTAAGCTTACCTTAGTTATCCTCACATAAAACATGTGAGTTACTTGGTAATATGAGGGGAAGTGTATCTTAGATAGGCAACTTGTGTTTAAATTATTGTAATACACATGTGTGACTCACAAATTATACTTTAAAACACAACTTTTTTTTACATTGATTCAATAGAAAATTGTATATATGACACTAATTTAGAAAGGCACCATTGCATGCCCATATGTAAAATTTTTTTAATATGTTAGAAGGGTTTACACTTTGGGTTAGGGCTTGTAGTTGTGATGTATGCTTTATTTCGTTAAAGTGGGACTTATTCAGTAAAGTGGGACATTAATTAGCATGTGTCCACATGCCATTTTCTAGTACTTAATTAATATTTATTAATATTTCTATCAGTTTTTTAATTTATTTTTTTATATTTCACAATATTATAACACAAAATCATATGAAAAGTTTTTAATTTATAAATTATAAAGTTAAAACTTTAATTTTTTATTGTTGTTATAAAAATGGCATGTGGCCACACACCATAAGTGGGATAATGAAAAGTCCCACTTTAACGAAATAAAGCATATGTTTAAAACAATTCTATCTATAAGAATTCAAATATAAGGGCAACTTTTTTTTTAATTAGTTAAGAATTTTTGGGATATTTGAGTTTGAATAATATTGAGTTAGATGATTTCCTAGAAAATGAAAATTCAAAAACTTACACCAATGTACAGCACACTGATATCTTAATACTATAGGTTAAGAGGCTAGGAAGGGGTGTATCACCTCAAGAGTGTTATTGTGGTTTAAATGCTTTTCTTGCAACATATGATGTGGGGACCAAGGGAATGTTATAATTAAACTATGCTTCTAAACTATAAGAAATGAGCCATAGTTGCATGAAATAAGAGTAAAGAAATGATCACAATCAAAAGATCACAAATCTACACTTAGTGATACAAGACAGAAAAGTGCTTATTAAATTTGTAGTGACTTTATGTTGTGTAAGATCACTTTTGCATAGGATATCACACCATGTGTATAGGGCATATCCCATGATAAAAATATTATGCACATAATCACATTTTTATTGCTAATATAGCAATTGAAAAGTGATTGTGTACATAATATTTTTGTATGCAACTCAAAAAAATAAATAAATTTGCATATGATAGATAATATAAGCATTATAACAAATATATACAATTATATTCATTGCCATACCAAAGAGGTGGTAAGAGAAAAATGGAATATAAAAATATACACTAATAAAATAGATAGAGAAATTCATCACATTTGGAATACTTATTCATCCTTTAGAAAAAAAAAATATTCTGAAAGAATAATCTATTTTATTGCCCTTCAAGGAAAAAGGCTACATAAATCTATTTAATTTGAGAAAATATAAGTATGTAAATTTTAAAACTTGATTTGCTTCTTAATTATATAGCTTAAGTCAATTCATGCAATAATAATAATAATAATAATTTATTGCGTGCTGTATGTAGCAACACTTGATGGGCTTAGTAGTAGTGTTATTCCTATTTATTAATCAAATTAATCAAATGGAAGTTTATAATTATAAACATGTTTACAATTTATAAATACAAGATTAATCTAAATAAATAACAACCATTAGATATTCTCAAATATTTAAATATATTCTAGGTATATCCATTACCATAAAAAATTTCTTACCCAAACTAAACTATTATAAAGTAATATTAAAAGTAGCATCTCGAATGGAGAAAAACTAGTTAGTGGCAAAAAACAACTCAGAAAGGAATTTTTAGTAAGACATCAATCTTCTCTTTCTAAAATTTCTGATTTAAACCCTGGGTTTTAACATGAGTTATCAAAATTGCCAGATGCTTTAAAAATAGCTCATCTTTAGCAATTTGGACTGCTAATTTTTCTTCAACCACTATAGAGAATATTATATACATATGGAAGGCGCGCGCCACTCCTTCGCAGCACGCGCTTGTTTATTTGCTTCTCTCATCGCAACCAAGTGAGAAGAACGCTTCTTGTCTTGTTCCAAGGCTGATAAGCTCCAGGAGAACTCGCAGCATTCCAGGGCGGGCGTTCCAGTTTGGGCAGCACATATGGATTTGCGACACTGTCAAGCCCATTAACTTTCACTGTGCGCGACTGGAGCTTGCCAAGGTAACGTATTCTTTTTCCTTTGTTTTCATCACCTGTGCTCCAAGATTGCGTGCTGACTTCACTCCTCCCCTCTGTGCCCAGAGCGCAGGAATTCAGGTAACGAAAAGTTGAACTGGCCATGTTGTATAGATCTCTCACGTACTCCACGCTGCAGACAATCGTCTGTGTTCCCACCCGAAACGGAGTTGTGGAGCTGGGATCCACCGAAATCGTAAGCTTTCTTGTTTTTCGCTTCTCTCTGTTGGAGATGATATATGTGGTGCCACAGGTTAACGAGTGCTCGCGGACACTCCAAGACATAAGGAGATACTTTGAGGAGGAGCAGCAGCAGCAGCAGCAATCACAGCAGCAGCAACTTCTTTCCCACCTTTGAAGTTTCTATTCATTGCTCTTGAACCCGCAGGATTCCTCGTTGCTATCTGGTCCTATATCCAGCACCAGGAAGTTTCCAGCTTGTGCCCCTGGGGATTTCTTGCCTCCTCTGAAAGAAAAGTCTCCTGGGTCATATGTCCTCTCAACATCTCCCATGCATTCCAATAGAGATCATATTGCCTCGAGACCTTGACAACCCTTGTCACTTGCTCGACAAGCTCAACATCGCTAGCATTGTGTTTTCGGCATGATCTCATGGATGAAGGACAAGCACACGCTGCTCAGAACAGAGATTGTGCATACTCCTCACCTCCACCGTAATGGGATTGCTTTGCATTTACGACAAAAGCACCTTGAAACAGAAACGTATGACTGAACGCGCGTCCTCGTCCAGAGCAAGCTCAAACTCTTTCCATCCTCAATAAGAAAAGTTAGCGTTAGGGTCAGTGTTCAGTTTATCTCTAAGCGTATGAAGTATATACGCAGAACAAAGGATGGCGTTTCTGCGAGCGCAGCGCGTTTTGTACATCCATCCCACAAGCGAAGCGGAACTAGACGAAGGAGTGCTGCGGCACAAGGGGAGGAGAGGTAGGCCAGTTCCCAGCACTCTGCCCGATGTGGCCGGCCTTCGGGGATGGCTGCAGGAAGAACTGCCTTCTGTGGATTCGGTCCTCGTTCCCGGCGATGGATGGTACAATCCGGAGTACTTACCAGACGGCCCACTTCCTGTGAGCTTTGCGCTTCATGTGCGTGGATCCGAAGGTAAAGTAACTGGTCTTTTGCTCTTGGTCTCCGCTCATTTCTTGGCTTAGGTGATCAGGCAAGCGACGCAGGGACGAAAACACCGCTGTGACAGTCGCAAGGAGTCAGACGAAGAGGGTGAAGGATTACCAAGTATACGAGCCCATGCTCGTGGAGCCGGATATCCTACTGGGCGGCCGGTCGAGTACCATGCTTGTGGCTCTAAAGTGGCTAGCTTTGCTCGAGCGCGAGGCCGCCAAGGTAGACCTTACAAGCCTGAGAGAGCTCAGGCTTGCCAAGGTGAAGCCAAAGGAGAGCGCCTATTATCCCGGCGTCTTGGCCTTCTTACGAGCTGCTTCGTTTGGTCAGAAAGGCTTGAATTTCGGTGGGCAGGGCTTGCAGGGCTTTATATGCGGCAAGCCAAGAGTTGTGTCGGAAGTGAAAACAGAGGTTTTCTATGCAACTGATAAGGATGAGACGGGTATGGTGGCCAATGCTACGCTGATAAAGCAGGAAGCAGACTATCTGAAAACGGGAATCGAGGGAACGGATGAGACGGCTCGTCTGGGGTGCCTGTTTTGCCGCATGGACAGGTTCTGGATTGTCAAGTACCTGCGAGAGACGGATAAGGTTCAGGTGACGCCGGGATTTCCTTTGCCTCTGCAGCTGGCCGACTTCAGTCCGGATTTTGTGCTGATGAAGCTTTCGTGGCTAAATGAGACCAGCTTGGAGAGCATCAGCATGAAGGACGTTCTACCTCCTAAACCGATGCCTGGATTCTGTACGTTGGTCTCCTATACGGAAGAACTGCAGCGAATGTACGATCTACCGGTGCTGAGTGTTCGTGTCGTGGGACCAAGCACTGATATCCCGCTCTCAGATCTGACGCCGGTGGCTTATGGCAAGAAGTCTCTTGTGGTGCTCCGACGATCGGCGTTCAATGTCCTCAAGATATGCTCGCCATCGAGTGCTGAGATGGAGCGACGCATCCATGCAGCATCCGACGGCCACTCCAACGTGCGGAGGCTTGTGAACTGGGGGATGGTGAGCATTGGGGAGAACAATGACGTGTTTGGCTTTCTGGAGCTCGAGGGCTATGGCCAGCCTTTGGGGCGGGAGCACATTGCCGACATGGAAGCGATGAGTGATATGTGGAATCAGGCGTACCGGGGGCTCAAGCATCTCCATTCCAAGGGTGTTCTTCACCGTGACGTGAAGCCAGACAACCTGGTCGTGTTTCCGGGCAACGTGCTCAAGATAAACGACTACGATGCGTCGTGCTTCAAAGGCGAGAGCCGTGCTTACAGCGAGATGGTGGGAACTGTCGGGTACCGGTCTCCTTCTGATATGTTGCCGTATGCGGAGGAGGACGACGTGTTGTCTCTGGCGCTCTCTTTCTATGCTCTCAAGTTTGGAACGACAACGACTTCGAAAGCGGGCCGGCTCCATATCTTACTCCGAGAGCTGCAGCCGGATGTTTTCCCTGGAGCAATGATCCAGGCAGTGGAAGAAGCGGTGATGCAACTCAACTTGGAGCTACTCGAAGAAGATTAGTACTAAATTTATAAACTGAGCCTATTGAATGGTTTGTAAATTAAGACCTACTATGTTCCTCAAGTGCCATTCGTAGCAACACCCAGTAATCACATAGACGTGGATCCCAATATGTCAGAGTCTATCAGGTTGGAGTTGTTTTATTTTGTTTGTGGTGGGCATGATGTTATTAGGAGCTGCAACTTCTTCCTTCCCTCAGCTTGCACTTGGCAAGTCTACCACGCGGATGGAGGTCGACCCTCCAGCCAGTTTAGCAACACAAGAACAAGGTGGCGGTGGTGGTTGTGGTGGTCGTGCTCGTGTACATTGCCACATAGGAATCCATGTCAAGCTACAGTTGCACCTGGTGGTGAAGATGTAGAATTGTTTCCTGTTGAACAATTGGAAAAGTAATGGATGTATCTAGATGTTCATGGATAACAGGAGTACTCCTCCACTCTTTCACAGCATGCTGTGTGGAGTTGATGGAGGATGAATGGTTGGTTTATATTCATTTTCTTTTGTGTTGTTAATGTTACTAAAGTGATGGTCTTCGTGGATTCAGGTTTAACAATCTCCTCCATTCACTGCTTTATTGTCAATGTTTGGCAACATCTTTATAGTGCCACTTATGCAAGTTTCTAGTCCATTTGAATTGGTCATATACAACTTGATGGGCCATTTTCATAGGGGGTATCATTATATTGTCATTGTATCTGATTACTTTATTCAGTGGATTGAGGTGTGTACACCTTGCAACATGGTTTGAAAACCTGAGTGTATCCTTTCAACTCAAGATTGTGAAAAGTGCTCAACATTTCCTTTACATATGTTTCTCTCTTTTAAAAGTAGGTTTTATTTATAATTATCTTTTATATAAAAAGTTATTTAAATAGGTTTTAAAATAAATTTCTAAAACTATATTCTAAAGATGATTTATAAATTTTGTATAAATCTATGAGGTAGGTTCACAAAATTGATTTAGAAATTTTTGGTTTTTAATAATTGTTTAAAATTAAGTTATTTTAATTACAAAAAGATTTTATGTAATGCATTTATAAAGAAGATTATGTTATAGTCTATATTATATCATCAGAAAATATACTATGTAAAAAATATAATAGTTATTTCTAACTAGATAACTTTGTTTATAATTTCATTATAATGGCTGTATAAAAAAAATTCTGCTACTTGAAAAAGCTAATACAACAACTTAGTTAATTTACCTGCTAAAAGATTATTATATCCACTATAAAAATATAGTTTGATTCATTTAATTGCTATTACTTGGTCTGAGAGCCTTATTTATTGTCAAGCCATTTATATTGCTCCCACTATGTAATTTAAGAATGAAATATATAACTATGATTTAAATATAGTTAATGAGTTTATTATCAAGCTAATTTTATAACTTATTTATTAAGTTCAAAGTATATAGAATAGTTTTGTAAATATTTTCATATTTTTAGAAAAAAAAATTTTAAATTGATTTATTATAATAATCTTTTAATATTATATTCTAGTTTATAAATATGGGTTATATATACATTTTTGAGTATGCTTATTTAATTCAGCTTTAAATTTAATTTTTTAATTTTTTAATTAATAATTATAAAATTTATTTATATTATTGTTTGCTACTCACACACTAAATCTGTTCAATTTAGCATTAATAGCCTAACATTTAATTAAAGTTTATAATATTAATTACCCTAAAATGTTTCATCTAACAAATTTTTGTGTGGCAGTTATGGTAATCATGTCATGCTCTCCTCAATTAGGGATGGCTCCTTAATATTTTTGGTTAGCACTTTATTATTTATGATCAAGTATAAAAATTATACATTAATTTTAAAGATAAACAATTAATTTAATTAATAAAAATTATTTTATGATTCATTATAGCTTGTTAAACTCTATGAATTTTATGAAAATAACTTTTTTTGTATGAATAATTGAAATTGGAATTTGTCTAAATCAAATGAATTTATATCTTCAATCGTGAAATTATATATTTTAAATTGCTTTAATTTTAATATATAATAAAATTTTTAAATTTAGTAATTCCTAATTCTTAACATTTAAAATCACCACAAAACCATTCAATATATAACATCAATTACTTTTATAAAGGATATTTTATTTTATCTACATTAATAACTAATTTTTAACTTGAAATATAAGATGAAATACTGATACTACATATTTTATTTGTATTAATATAGTTCTTTGTTGATTTTGTACAATCTTATTATTACATCCTAATAATTTTTAATGTTTTATTTCTTATTTAATTTTAAAAAGAAAATAAAATATAAGAATAATACAAATATCCTTAATGATAAGAGGTTTATCTTTTTAGATTATTCTTAATATTAACACTTTATGATTAAAATTGTTTAAGAAGGTTGGTAATAGAATATGCTCTTTATGTGCCGTTGTTTCCGATAGCTAACGCAGTATTTGAATCAAGCCCTTTAGGGTTTGTAGTTTCCAGCGCCATGGCTACTCTTCAGCTCGCTCTCCAGAAGACATCGAGCATCAAGATGTTTGAGCAGCCGCGTCAAGGTCTGCGAGGGCTCGTTGGAATCGGCAAGCCGGTTGTGCAGCAGCGGATCGTTCGTCCTCCGGACATCGCCAATCCCAGGGTTGGGGAGAGCTTCACGCATCTCAAGCTCACGGCAGGTGATATTTCGAGTCTTTTTCGCGATCTAGGCCAGCAATGCGGGCATTCTTTGTCCCTTGATCAGAGAAAATGCTCCAAGAACAAGCGTGCGTCAGGAGCGACCTGGAAATCGCGGTTTGTATTTGCAATTCCCATTCTCGACAACAGCGTCTTGTTCTGTAGAACTCCAAGCTTGCGAAGGCGGAGGAGGAGCTACGAGCATTGGAAGCGAAGAACCAGGAAATCTCCAACGAGAATGCCATGCTGAAAGTAAAGCACAGCGAGGACACAAAGCTTTGGACCAGTGTGGAGACCAAAGTCTCGTCAGCCAGCGCCTTCTTCGAGCAGATCACAGAGACTCTACACGCTCTTGAGAATCAAGTCCAACAAGGTATCATCTTTTCATCGCTTTGAAAACCATGTTGCTTTGTTCTAATTCATGTGAACTAGCTGAGGCGACCAAGAAGCTCGTTGAAGAAAGGTTGCTAACCAGGGACGAGGTAATTGAAAAGGACTTGGCAAGGCTGCGGACCAGCTTGCAAGAAGCTACGCTAAAGCTCGAGACTGCCGAGAAGAATAGCGAGTACAAGCAGCTGCTGCTCAAGGAACAAGAGTCTGCAGCTCAGAAGATCGCCGCTCTGGAAAAGACGCTTTTGGAAACTCGCAAGCAATCGGAGCTTCAGTTAGAAGCCAAGCAAGCAGACATTGCGAAACACCTCAGGGAGTTATCGCAGAAGAACGATCAGGTAATCAGCTTTTTCGTTCAGCCTCTTGCATAACATAGCGCTTTTTCTTTCTTACAGGCGATGCTTGAGATGAAACGCCACGAGGTGATTAGCCACCAACTGAATCGTTCTCATGTGTATGTTTTTATCCAGATAAACAAGCTACAAGAGAGCCATAAGCAAGCTTTGGAACAGGTTTCTGCGAAGCATGAGGAGCTTCAATCGAAGTACAACGGGCTCCTTCTGTCCATGAAAAAGGTTCCTGTCAAATATTTGACAAGACTTGCGCAATTTTCTTGTCTTGATCAGGTGGAGGCGGAGCTCGAGATTGCAAAGGCCAAATTCGGGGAGCTTTCGGAGAGAGACCGCCGGCAGCAGTCGGACTTGGTACTTACAGTGACAAAACACGTGACAGGATTTGACGAGATTTCTTTCAGGCTGACAACAAGAAGGAGCTGGAGCTTGTTGCCGTTGAGAAGCGGGAGCTTGAGAAGAAACTCAACGATACGGTTGAAGATCTGCAGAAGAAACATATGGCATCGCTTACACGGGTAGAGGCGGAGCTGGAGAGGGTCAAGGCCAGAAACGAGGAACTTTTGGAGAGACAGCAGCAACAACAGGCCGACCTGGTAAGCCTATATGCGCAAGTATGAAAGTTATCACAGATATTCTTGTCTTTGTAGGCCGACAAAAAGAAGGAACTGGATCTAGTCTCGCTCGAGAAAAGTGACATCGAGAAGAAACTCAAGGATCAAATCGAAGAGCTGCAGAGTAAACTCGAGAGCCAGATTGAAAAGAAGGCGGCCGAAGCACCACCTGATGCCAAGAAGACATACGCGAAAAGGAAGAGAGTTCAAAGCACGGCCACAAAGGTAGACGCCTCCTCCTTACGTAGCAAAGCTCTCATATAAAACTTCGCGTCATTTGTTTGCAGGAGGCAACGCCCAAAACCAAGCCCAGAGCTAGCAGCCGAAAGAAGCCGACCAAAAAACAGGTAAACCTCTACTAAGTTCGTGAAAAAAACAGTGCGAGCATTTGTAATGGACAGATTGTGAGCTTGAATGACGACGATGACGATGACGATGGCAACGATCTGTTTGGAGAGGGATGCCTAGACCCTTACGCTGACGATCCCTACGCATTCGGCTAGTCCCAAAAGGTTCGTAGCCAGCGTCCAGTGGAAAGTTACTTGACTTGGTGCGTCCCTTGGCAGGATCAAAGTGGAGCAGCCGTGATGAATGACGAGCTGAGAAGCTCCCATTTCTACTCGAGAAAAAAATTCTTCCGTGCAAGGCGAAAGATTCTTTGTTCTGGAAGTTTAGAGTAAGCCACTCACTGTTTTCGTTGATGAAACTTTGTGTACAGGACAAAGGAAAAAGAGAGAACAACCTTCTATTTTGTTTGCATTGGGGACGAAGCATATGCCGGGGATATTTTAATAAGGGTTAGGGTTCTTGGTGGATTCTTCTTCTTCCAGGTCGTTTCTTATTCCGGAGGGACAAATCGCATAGAAAATTTTAGCGGTAGTCAAGCGATCGATCGATCTCATCTGGCGCTCGCATTCTTGCTGTTCTTGGAGGTCTTGAGGCCGAGCATCCGGCGCAATCCTCGCAGGAATCCGCCGCTCGCTTTCTTGTGATGATCCTCCACCGCCGCCGCCGCCGCCTTGGTCGGATTATCCCCTGGATTGGCCATAGCCGCCATGGATTCTTGCACGGGATGGCAAATCTGGCACAGCTTGAGCGATCCCTCGTCGAGATTGAGGCGCTGCGAAACGGTGCCCAGCCATCGGCCACACTGCGCGCACTCGATGGAGAGGATCTCCCCGTCGCGCGTCTGGTAGCTGTCGGAGATCCTCACCAGGCGCTTGCTGCTGCGATCCACCTTGTCCAGGGACAGCTTCTCCACGCAAGAATGCCGCGGGGGCGCGATCCCTAGGACTCGCGGATGATGATTCTCCCTCGCCGCCGCCGCCGCCGCCGCCGCTGCCAGATCCTCCTCGCTGCTGCTATCGGCGGACACGATCCGGTTGTAGCGCATGGATTGCGTGCGCGGGAGATGAATCTTTGGCTGGTGTTGCTTGAGATTCTTGACGATGCTGGACACCACGCCCTGATGATCGCCGCCCAGTCCCTGGTGGATTGTCGATTCCCTGGTGGAGCTTGCGCGCCGGAGCTCTGGAACCTCGATCTGCCGCTGCGCTACCGCTAGATCGAAATCCCTCCTTGGTACGCTCTCTTCTTCCTTTCTAGCTCTAGCGCCGCCCAGATTATACGCTACCGATTTCTGGAGAGATGGAGACTCCAGCCTCTCCCGCGTGGATTGCGCTCTCCGCAATCCCGGCCAGGAGGAAATTCGCTGCCGCTGCTCGCCAAGATCATCCGGCTGGAACTGGAACAAGCTCGTGTCCCTGTCCGTGTTGTTGCCCACGCCCAGCTTCAAGTACCTGGGTGGCATCCTCGCCAAATCGATCGATCGACGAATGGAATCGATCGCTCCTATATCCTGGAACAAGGCCCAGTCATGAGATTGACGCGAGATTTTTCTTCTCTCGCCATAGCTCTAGCTCGGCGACAGCCCAACAACAACGTTGAAACGCAGCATTTTTAAGGGGAAAAGCGAGCGATTGCGAGAAAATAACGGGATGGGAGAGGGATTCACACGTGAAGCAAAGGGGGAGCGATGAATGAGCTGACAGCCATGTTCCTCACACAGGGATTTAATAGCCCAAGAACAAAAACAAAGAGCCCAGCCAAGGTAGCCAACACACTGCGAGATTTTTTCCATCACCGCCCAAGACGATCAAACGCAAGAACGCGAGCAATCCTAGAAAACCCACCTCGATCTCGCGTCAATTCGCCGGAACCCACCTCGCGGGCAACGAGGGGTTTGATCCGATCAACGCCAACATTTCGCGAGAAACAAAAGATTTTTTCGATCGTTGGCGATGGCGTGCTTTGTCGCTGCTGCTCTGGGTTGTGTGCTCGAGATCCTTTCAGGCATTTATTCCCGGGGCTCTACTGTAACTGATCGATCCCACTCCACTCCTCTCATCAATCATCAGACAACGATTAAAAATTGGATGGAGAGAGCGAAAAGAAATCGGGCACACCTCTTTCTTTCTTTCTTTCTTTCTACCTAGAGAGGGATTTCTTGCTTTATCAAAGAGATTCGAATATGCCTGATTCCACTTAAGTTGGATCTTCCTATGCTAAGCAATGTACCCGTAGGTAGCTTTAAACGCAAAAAAGAAAAGAAAATCGACGAGTCAACCTCTTGAAATATATTCCGTTTGTTGGATTGAATCCTAGACTAGCCGTAGCCGTATCCGTAGCTAGTCGTATTGTACGTGTAAAGTATTATGGAGCTTCGAGCGATGCCTGGGACTTTGATTTTATAATGTCCGCCAATGGTTCGTTTGTGGACATTATCAAGTCTTGCGGATATTCCCGGGATCTTTCCCTGGGCCGGGAAATACACGCCAAGGTCAGGCACTCGCCACAGCTCTGCGAGGATGTTTTCCTCGCGAATATGCTCATACAAATGTACGGCAGGTGTGGGAGCCTCTGCGAGGCTCGCGCCGTGCTGAACGATTTCGTACGGCCGAATCTCTACTCCTGGAATCTCATGCTCACGGCTTATGCCCGGAATGGGCATCTTGCCGACGCGCGGGAGCTGTTTGATGGAATGCCGCAAAAAGATGCCGTGTCGTGGAATGTGCTGATCGCAGCATATTCGCGGAATGGTGACGTGGACGAGGCAAGTGCGTTGTTTGCGACAATGCCTTGTCCAAACGAGGCAACGTGTACAGCCATGATCGCGGGATATGCCAAGGCGGGGCAAATTGTCAAGGCAAGGACGATCTTTGATAGCATGCCCCGCCGAGATCTTCCAACGTGGAACGCCATGTTGGCCGCTTACGTGGGATGTAACCAGGTAGAAGCTGCTGCTAGAATGTTCAAGGCCATGGCTAACCGAGACGTGGTGACGTGGACTACCATGGTATCGGCATATGCCCGTGTGGGGCATCTGGAAGAGGCAAAGAGGGTCTTCGATGAGATGCCGGGCAAGGACGCCGCGGCGTGTAATGCTTTGATCCAGGGCTATGTTCGATCTGGAATGCTGGAGCCGGCGCTGGAAATCTTCTCGCGCATGGCGCGGCCGGATGAGATCTCGTGGACTTTGATCACGCAGGGGCTGGCGCAGGCCGGGCGATTGGATCAAGCGCGAGAGATTTATGCGAGAATGCCTGTGTGGAATGTGATCACCACCACGGCGATGATCGTCGCGTTGTCCCAGGGCGGGCGGATTGACGAGGCGAGGGCGCTGTTCGATCGGATGCCGTGCAGGGATGTGGCGGCCTGGAACGCTATGATCAATGGATATTGCAAGAACTCGCTGGGAAGGGAAGCTATAGCGCTGTTTAGGGTTCTTGATCTGGAGGGCGTGGGGGCGGACAAGAACACGCTCTCCACCGTGCTGGATGTGTGCGCGGATCTCTCCTGGCTGCCGCTGGGGCGATCCATCCACGCCGCCATGGCGGCCGTGGAATTCGAGATCGACGTGGTGCTGGGGACCGCGATCGTGAGCATGTATGGGCGGTGTGGCGATCTCGCGGCGGCGCGCAGTGCTTTCGAGGTGATCGCGGCCAAGAATGTGGTGTCGTGGTCGGCGATCATCGCGGCATACGCGCACAACGGGCGATCGATCGAGGCGCTGGGGCTCTTCCAGCTCATGAACCTCGAGGGAGTTCGCCCGGTGGAGATCACATTCGTGAGCATTCTCTCCTCCTGCAGCCACGCGGGGATGATCGCCGATGGGATGGATCTCTTCGCCGCCATGTCGCGAGATTACGGCCTCGTCGCAGGCGCCGATCACTACCCCTGCGTGATCGATCTTCTGGGGCGAGCTGGGTGGCTGGCGATCGCGGAGGAGCTCGTCCACAAGATCCCTAGCGCCGAATCGTGGGCGACGCTGCTCGGTGCCTGCAATTTCCACAGCGATGCTGCTAGATCGGGGAAAGCCGCGGGGATTGTCTCCAGGAATGATCCACAGCGCGCCTCTCCGTACGTGGTTCTATCTAGTACGGAGAGGGCATTGACTGTGATTTAGGGTTCTTGGCGGGGGAGGAGAGGTAGGCACTGGCAATGGCAATGGCGCTGGCTCTGGCGCTGGCTCTGGCGCTCGCGGCGCTGCTACTGGCGTCGATTCGATCGGCCGATGCGCTCTCCATGACGGTGTACAGGACCGAGTGCGTCCAGGAGCACGTCGAGTATGCGAACGATATCGTCACGGGGAACTTCGTTGTGGTGGATCACGAGATCTTCTGGGCCTCGGATCATCCAGGGATCGACTTTGTGGTAAGCTCATCTCTTGTAGAAACATTTAGATTTCTCATTTGGATTTCTCTCGCAGGCCACTTCTCCGGCGGGAGTCATTGTCTCTTCGATCAGGGGGTCGGCTGGAGACAAGTTTTCCTTCACGGCTGCCATGCCAGGGCTGTACAAGTTTTGCTTCCATAACACTGCTCCGAGCCCCGAGACTGTGGATTTCTATATCCACGTTGGTCACATTCTAAACGAGCACAACCTCGCTAAAGACGGTAAGATTTTGTTCCTTTGACACCGAATACTTAGTTTTTCGTGTCTCTTTGCTCCAGAGCACCTCAATCCCGTACACGTAAAGATTTCGCAGTTGAAGGAGGCCCTGGAATCACTTATGGCAGATCAGCACTACCTCAGATCGCGAGTGGAGCGGCACCATAACAGTAAGCTCTGCAGTGCATTTGTCTCATTTTTCTCGTTTTTTTGTTTCTTCTTCTTTTCTGAGAGAGACGTGCTTTTCTTTTTTTACAGCGAACAGGAGCACTCAAAAGAGGCTCCTTTTCTACACTATTGGCGAGTACCTGGCCCTGGCCGCAGCCAGCGTAACCCAGGTTCTCGTCCTAAAACACTTGTTCAATAGGAAGATTGGCTACACCAAACTGTGAGATGTTAGAGATAATCGTGAATAAGACATAAGGTGAAACTTTGTGTCTGGGACGATGCTTTGGTGTTGTTTCTTTCCTACTATTCATGCAGGCGTGAACCAACTAATGGTGTTTTGGTATCTCTCGTGCTGGAGCCATCAAGTTTTGTGGTACGGAGAAGATTTCTATATGATTCAACAGCCGTGGGCATCGTCTCAGCGTGAGCCGGGTCAGGTACCTTTATAAGTTTCGTCGTACTTACGGTCCCATTTCGTAACAGCAGTCGCAAGTGGGAGGCTCGGGCGTACGAGTTCTTTTCACGCAACGGAAACCATCCTCAGCGAGTGAGTGATTGAGGGAGCTGCAAAGGGAGCGTTGGCTGGTGGGTGGATATCACATTGAAGTCCAGGTTCCTGTACTTTGGTGGGAGAATGCATGCATTTTGGACTGATAGGTGTGTTTGTGATCGTTTGGCTGTAGCAGCAGGGAAAGGTTCGACTGCCGCTGTCGAAACCAAAGCGAAGATAGAGCAGTTTTTGACGCGTTCGGCTCGGCTCGCTGGGATGAGAGAAAGATCAGCAAGGGAAAAAAGAGAGCGAGAACAAAAGAAGCTGGAGCCCGCCAGAGGAAGAACACCCAACGGAGCGTCAACAAGGCGTAAAATGGAGGCTGGAGGACGCGAGCAGTTTCGTCGCTTGCATTGTCGGACAAGCGTCGAGAGATCCGGTACGAGCACTGAGAGAATTTTGTCTTGGACGAGGACTAAAAAGAGAGCGGTGGAATCATGGCGAGAGACTTACAGCGCCAATCGATCGATCGCGCCATCCATGGACGTTGTTCATCGAGGAGCGATTACGTCGCCTTGGTGGCCACTGAAAGTCGTGGAGGAAGAAAGCTTTTTTACGCGGGTTTCGTACGGGGTGAAAGATCCTTAAATCTTTCTCTTTGATTGACAGGGAAAGCTTTGGGGTCACTAAATTTTTTTCTTCTTCTCATCAAGGTTGGATGGAAGCATTATTTTCTTGCGAGCGTTCCGACTAAGACATTGATGGTATCTGTTGTGATGATCCAGAGACAAGGGCATGTTAAACAGGGACCACTACAAGGGATGTTCCAAATGGCCATGGCCGTACGTACGGACGCGAAGGGAAAAATATCCGCCCTCGGGGTGAAAAAACGTTTCTTTTACCCGCCAGGTGAAACAGATTTTTGTGGATAAGGAGCGCTGCGATGCTCACACGTGTTCCGTTTTACCAGAGCCTATCATCGTATTTAATGCGGTAGAGCACAGCCGGCCGTCAGATCTGACATCCGACGGCATCAAGTGCTGCACGTGGCCTGGCGTCGACGTACACGGGTCCGACGTGGCGGAATCTGGCGTGTCACGCTTATCAATCTAACGCTCAGGATTGACCACTGGACAGTGAAGGGCAGGGCCGTAGGAGAGGTAAATTTGTGCCATATGGCGCCGGCCATGTTGTGTGTGCGTATGTGCTCTCATCTGGTGCTCAAAGCAATGTGTCCATGGCGCATATCTTTCGAGGGTTTTGTTCTTCCGTGAGAGAGGGATTTTTGGGGCGCTGCCGCCGATCGTCACTGGCGCCCGCCACGGCGTGATTGATCTGCTAGCCTAATCTTTGCTGCTGCTCCTCGTGCTGGCTGCCGCTGCCGGAAATCTCAGATTCCTCGCTCCAATTTTTTCTCTCCTGGTGTTGCTTGGATTGCCTGCCCTCTTTTGCGGCTAATGCTGCTTGCCGGATTGTCCGCGTAGCGGTATCGTGATTTATTCCTCTCCCTCCGCAATCCTTAGGTCTTTGGCGGAGCAAGAAATTCCGAGAATGCTGCATTAATTTCCCGGCTCGGCTGTGCGCGATATCTGGAGCCGAGATGGCTTCTGTGAAGAAGCTGATCAACGACGCCAATGGTAAGTCGAGCGAGAGAAAAAGGAAAAGGAAGAGCCCAATGGGTTGAATTGAGTGTGACACAGATGTGGTGACCGAATGCATCGAGGGATTGGTAGAAACTTACCCAGGTCTCCAGTACCTTGACGGCTTTCCAGAGGTGACTTTTATTCCATATCCATTGAGCTTCTTGGATGATCGTCTCCTTTTCACTTGTGATAGGTGAAAGTGGTCATCCGAGCTGATGTTTCGAGGGGCACCTATGACAAAGTCGCGTTGCTATCAGGTTCTTAAGCTTGCTGCGTGATTGCTGGGTGACTGACTCGATAGTTTTTGATCGTCCCATCCAGGTGGTGGAAGCGGGCATGAGCCTGCTCATGCCGGATACGTTGGCCCTGGTATGCTAACAGCGGCTGTGTGTGGAGATGTCTTTGCCTCTCCATCAGTGAATGCCATACTTGCTGTGAGTGGAATTCGAGATGAGTTTGGTCCGTGTTCTTGAGGAATAACATGTTTCGTTTGCTGAGCTCAGGGAATAAGATCCGTGACTGGACCGAAAGGTTGTCTTCTTATAGTGAAGGTAGTAAAGTGTAGGTAATCTTGGACTGGATAAACTCTTACATTGTATTTCACTCCAGAATTATACCGGCGACCGGCTGAATTTTGGACTGGCAGCCGAGCAAGCTAAGGCAGAGGGATTCAAAGTGGAGGTAGCGAAATAGATATGCTGGAAACTTTGTGCTGACTTAAAGTTCTCTCAGATGGTAATTGTTGGAGACGACTGTGCCATACAAACTCCTCGTGGAGTTGCGGGACGCCGGGGGCTTGCTGGAACCATTTTTGTTCACAAGGTGATATCTAAACTTCCATTGCAATAACGTAAAACTGCTTGATTCTCTCAGGTCGCAGGTGCTGCTGCGGATGCTGGCCTGAATTTGGATGAAGTAAAAGCCGAAGCCAAGCGAGTGGCCCAGCTTGTGGGAACCATGGGTGTTGCGCTGTCAGTGTGCACACTTCCGGGTCAGGGTCCGTCAGATCGTCTTGGTCCCGGTAAAATGGAGCTCGGACTCGGCATCGTAAGTACTCTATGTTTAGCACCCAGGGAAGACTGAATGTTTTCTGCTTTATATATAGCACGGAGAGCCTGGAGCCGCGATGGCTGATATACAGCCTGTGGATGTCGTGGTCTCACACGTTCTGAAGCGGATTCTTAGCGCTGTAAGAACAACTGGTGATCACGTCTCGCAGAAACTAAGACCTGACTTTCTACGTTGTCCAGGAATGCATCCCGGTTAAGCGTGGAAGCAGGGTCGCGTTGATGGTGAATGGGTACTTATTGTGATTAAGTTTTTGAATGCTGTTGAGACTGAGATATGTTTGCTGGAGCAGTCTTGGAGCGACTCCTTTGATGGAACTGATGATTGCGGCAGGCAAGGCAGTCGCACAGCTCCAATTGGACTATGGTGTCGCTGTTGCTCGTGTCTATACTGGCTGCTTCATGACAGCGCTTGACATGGCGGGTATTCTTCTTTTCTTGAATAGCGGTTCCAAGTTCAGAATCTAATTTCCTGCTTCAGGAATGTCAATATCCATCTTAAAGGTGGATGATACGATTCTACCAAGATTGGATGCTCCAACAAAGGCCCCCTCATGGCCTGTTGGTGTTTCTGGTGAGACCATATCGCACCCTGCTGAAATCTCACTTTGCTTTTCATTTTCTTTTAGGACCACGACCTCCAACAACAATACCCGTCCCACTCCCTCCTGCTCCTGCAAACAATGAAACAGTAAGGAAAAAACTCTTATATCATGCACTGTCGCTCCTAATTTTTTCATACTTTGGTTTAGACAGCTTCACGACCACCAGAGCTTACTGGGCCTGGGAAATTGTTGGAAGCTGCTATCGAGGCTGGTGCTGAGGCAATCATAAAAATAAAGGACTCTTTGAATGACTGGGACAGCAAAGTAGGGGATGGAGACTGTGGCACAACGGTAAGCATTGGGATTCATAGCTATCTATCGTATAAACTTTGTTCGTGCTTGTAGATGTGGAAAGGAGCCAATGCCGTACTCGAAGATCTGCGGAAGTGGTACGTCAGAACGCACGATGTCCTTGTCTTGTTGCTGATCCCTTTGTGCTTGCAGCTACCCCCTCAATGATACCGCTGCTACAATCAATGAGCTAGGCGGGACTATAAGGAGAGTGATGGGTGGCACTAGCGGTGTTCTGTGAGTTCTAAAATTACATGGAATCTATCACGTCTAATGCCTATTGTTGCAGGTATGACATATTCTCCAAGGCAGCGTATGTAAAGTTGAAGGACAACGCAGACCAGCCATTGACTGCCAAATGCTGTGAGTTTCTTCTCGCTGATGTATGTGTTTACTCAAATGCAAACACGCTTTCGTTGTTTCAGGGAGCGATGCTCTTGATGCTGCCGTTACCGCTGTGAGTACATACGGCGGAGCTTCGGCAGGACACAGAACCATGCTTGATGCGTTGCTGCCTGCAGCAGCAGTTCTAAGAGAGGTTTGCAAAGTTATGCGTTTTACTGGCAGCTTGAGAAACAAACTCGTTTGCGCAGAAAGTGGATGCTGGAGAAGATCCCGTGAAAGCATTCGTGGCTGCAGCCGAGGCAGCTCAAGCTGGAGCTGAGTCTACGAAAGACATGCAAGCCCAGGTGAAGTTTCTCCTATGAAAGGAGATACTAACTTAGCTACTTGGCTGGCAGGCTGGGAGATCGAGCTATATCTCCCCCGATCTCCTCACGGCGGTGCCGGATCCGGGAGCGATGGCGGTGGCTGCGTGGTTTGGAGCAGCAGCGGACGCAGTGTCTCTCAATGCTGCGGCTGCGACGTAATTTTGTAAGCGAAGAAGCGCATTTGAGTTTTTGCAGTTGCTACTTCCGGCTAATGTAGGTGAGCTCAAGATCATCGCAGCTCGATCGAAAGAAAAAAAAGAAAAGAACCATAGACAAAAGAGACAACATCTAGATAGGTGATACAACAACGATCTATATTAGCGTTATAAAGGAAAGAAATAAAACATTGAGATAGTATGAAATCTTCCTCGAGCGAGAACTAGGAGAACTAGGCATAGGTTTCTCTTCAATGCTGCTCGCTGCCACTCGGTTTGATGGTCACTCGCTCTTGGGTTTGGAGGATTCTAGCTATGGAGCTTCGATTCGTCACAGAAAGGCGCGGGGGATTAGAATTGTGGCCGCTTGCACGCCTCCTTACAAAGTTCTTATCACTGGCTCTAGCAAAGGTATAGAAAGTTCTTATCCATCGCAAAAAGAGACGATTTCTCGAGTGTTTGTGATCGAAGGGATTGGAATGGCGCTGGCGGAGGAGTTTCTTAGATCCGGAGACAATGTGATGATCTGCTCGAGACGAGGTAAAGTCTGTTCTAGCAAGATTGTAAGTTACTATACTCCATGTCTAGAGGAACACGTAAATGCGGCTCTACAAAGCTTGAGCAGCGAATTTGGCAGCCAGCGCTCTTGGGTAGAATCAAAACTCAACGTTGGAGGTTCTTGGTTTGTTTGGTTGCTTGCTTATCTCGATTGACTTGCGAAAGTTTTTTTTTTTCTTTTTTGTTCTTTGCTTGCTTACGAGGGATGGAGTTTTTGCACAGGGAAAAGCGTGCGATGTGAGGGACCCCAAGAGCATCCGGGAGATGGTAGAGTTTGCGAGGGACACGTTTGGAAAAGTCGACATTTGGGTGAGAAAGTCAAGCTCAGGTTTCTAGGATCACATTTTTACTCCTCATGAAATTGGAATTTGTATAGTCTAGAGATTCTAACTTTGTTTCGTCAGATCAACAACGCTGGCTCCAATGGCTACACGTATAAGCCACTCGTTGAAACCAGCGACGAGGTGATCCTGTGAGCGTCTCCTTTTGCTTTCTCTTCTTCTTCTTTTGCTTTTCACTTTCTTCTGGAATCTAATCCGAGCATGCAAGGGAGATCGTCGAGACGAATCTGATCGGTGTCATGCTGTGCTGCCGAGAGGTGTGTTTCGATCAATCCACGCAACTTTGTCATTCGCTGTTTGATTTTTTTCCGCTGGAAAAGCTTGCTCCAGGCAATCAAGCTGATGCGAGACCAAGGATCGGAGGGACATATTTTCAACATGGATGGTGCTGGTGCTGATGGACGTCCCACGCCAAGGTTTTAAAAATTTTCATGCTTCTTTTCCTCTATACTCTTTACAAGAATTAAAAGCACGAGTCAATGTCTTACAGATTTGCAGCATACGGAGCAACCAAACGCAGCATCACGCAATTCACAAAGACTTTACAGGCACCACAGTCTTAGAAATTTAATTTTTTTTTAAATAAATAATTTATTTTTTGGATTTCAGGCAGAACTCTCCATGCAAGGCGTGAAGAACGTCTTCGTGCACAACCTCTCGGTATTAAATCTCTCGTTTTGTTTCTATTCCTTATAGTTTTTTTTCCCTCGATATTTCAGCCAGGCATGGTGACAACCGATCTCCTAATGTCGGGAACTGACACAAAACAGGTTTTTGGGTTCTTCCTTCTTTTCTTCCAAAGATTTGATTTTTCTATGCTTTTGTCTCGCAGGCCAAATTCTTTATCAACGCGCTGGCAGAACCTCCCGCAGTGGTAAGCAACATGAGAACGTGTGAAACTATTTCTAACTTCCAAGTATTTCAAGGCTGCCGCGTTCTTGGTTCCTCGAATCCGGAGCGTCGTCGCCGAGAAGAACCCAAAGAGCACGTACATTCGATTTCTCACGGGCGTCAAGGCCTACTCTCAAATTCTCAAAGTAAGATCGACCCACCTTTCTCCCATATTCGCTAAGAATTTTGGTAAGAAATCGATGCTTTTTTCGCAGAGGATTCTCTTCAAATCAAGGAAAGATCGCTTCGTCCGGGAAGAAGACTAGGCTAGCCCCGGTTGGCGAAGATTCCATTTTCAAAAGTGGAATATCCTGGCGCGCTTTTCCAGCCGTCCGACCGGGCCACGTGTCGGCATTTTGACCGGCGACGTGCCGGCGCTCGATGCTTCGTTTTCTAGGGCTCTTGCAGCGCGCGGGGGAAATGGAGGCTTTTTGGATTCTTGCTGTGGGAAATCCAAACCAAGATCGCGCGCTTTCGTGATCTCCAAGCTCCAGGGCCTTGGTGGCAGGAATTCTGGATTCGCTTGCGGGCGAAGGCGGCCAGGGATCGCTCTGGTTCCTTCGTCGGCACGGATGTAGCGGAGCTGGAAGGGATTTCGTGCATGTCAAGGCTAGGGATCCAAGATTTCCTCTCCGATGGCGCAGGCCGACGGCAATCTTGCCGCTCCGCTCGTTCTCTGCGATGAGGTAAGCCAGGAATCACCCGGGGATCGAAGCTCCGAGGCGAATCGGTCGTCTTCTCCCGGTGATTATCGGCAGAGGTTCCCCAATTCCGATGAGGAGATACAGCAATTCAAGGCGAGCTTGTTCTGGCTGGGACTGGATCAATCCACGGCGCCGCGGATGATCTGCTCCTGGGTTCTCTTCTTCCTCATGACACTGCTCGTGCCGCTGCTCAATGCGCTTCTGGTGGATTGCCGCCACTGTGACGAAGACCACAAGCATCCGTATCAGGGAATAGTGGAGATTTCGGAATCAGCGCTCGCGATGGTCTCGTTCCTTTGCGTGTCTCACATCTTCTCGGTTTATGGGCTTCACAAGCTTCTTCTCTTCGACTATATCGCGAGAGACTCCACCGAAGTACAAGTGGGCTACAAAAAAGAGCTCCATGTAAGTTCGTGAAGTTCTTCCTTTCTTTTTTGCGCTTTCTATGGTGATGCTGACAAGAAGCCTTTTCTTCTTCTTTTTTTTTTTTTTATACTTTTCTTCGCAGAGCGCCTTTCGTGTTCTAGCAATGATCCTCTTCCCGAGTTTTCTAGTGGCACTCGTCCACAAACTTTGGTGGTTTTATTACGTGTCGGTGAACCTTCCACGGGTCTCCGAGAGCTCGCTGATAAATGCGGTAATGTGCGTATCAGTGATGGCAGCATGGCTCTACAAGACAACGATCTTTCTTTTCGTCTGCGTCCTGTTCCGGTTACTATGCTCGCTCCAGATCCTTCGCCTCCAGAGCTACAACAAGCTTCTTGAGGAGACGCCGGATGTCTCCGTTATTCTTTCGGAACACATGAGAATTCGAGACCAGCTCCTTATAATCAGCCATCGGTTCCGGGTTTTCATGGTATCCTCTTTACTGACCATCACTTTCAGCCAATTCGTTTCGCTATTTATGCTCACCACCTCTCGCGGTTCTGTTAATTTCTTCAGAGCTGGCGACTTAGCGGTAAACTTTTCTCATTTTCTTGTTTTTTTTTCTGTTGAAGCAAGCAGTGCTAACTTCCTCTCTCAAACTCTTTGGCAGGTTTGCTCAGCAGTACAGCTTACTGGATTTGTTGTCTGCCTGAATGGAGCCGCAAGGATAACTCACAGAGCTCAGAGGATAGTTGCTATAGTCAGTCAGTGGCACGCAGTAGCAACTTGCGGAACGTACGCAGTGGCCATGCCTTCGTGCGACGCGGACAAGGCCACCGAGCCAGTTGCGAGTGCAGTGGTCGGGCCTGCGCATCCCTTTCTCGCGCGCCTGGAGGCAACGATAGATATATGTTCTACGCCCAAGGAACCATCAAAGTATGATATTGACTCGTTCCAGAAGCGTCAGGCACTAGGTGACAACGCTTTCCATTCTAGTGCTGGATTTTGGTTTCTTTGATTCATGCGTGCCTTTGAGCTGATGCTGGCTTTATGTTGATGCAGTAACGTACCTCCAACATTGCAATGCGGGAATCTCTCTTTATGGATTCGTTCTGGATCGAGGATTCCTGTATGCGATATTTGGATTCGAGCTGTCACTCGTACTGTTCATACTAGGCAACACGATGGGGTTCCACTAAAGCGACCCATGTACAGTCGTATATACCATAATCTTCCTGACAAAAGCTCAGGAGGTACGCAGAGAGAGTGAATACTTCACAGTTTTATTGACTTTGGTACAGGATTCGTCTAGAAGCTGTAGTTCTCGAAACGCAAGTAGCAATCATCAGTGCAGAGGCGAGCACCCACAGCCTGAGGAACGGCGTTTTTTATGGTGTTTCTGGCCTCAACGAGACAGTTACCGCAGTTGCCATAGCACTCTGCACGACCGTAAGCGATGTATGGAGCGTCTCCAACGCTGGTGTAGATGAAAGAGTCGCTGCGCGTGTCTTTGAGGATGTCGAGGAGGCGATTTTGATTGGTGGCGTATGGGGTGGAGAAGTCGATCTCTCCGCTGTAGTAGACAACGTTCCTGTCCTCGGTGCAGTGACTCAGCTCTTGGCCTGCAACCATGGAAACCAGCAGAGCAAGAGCCAACAGACAAGCCAGCGATGTCGAAGAAGCCATCGAGAACAAGAGATGAGCTAAGGACCAACTTGGATGAAACAATATCCTTCAATGGTTTCGGCAGGGCCTTGAGGCCCCTATTTGTACTCGAGGAACTTCTTGCGTGGTGGCTGATTCGCTTACGGCACAACTTTGGAGAAGATTTCTTAGGCACGCGGTAAGACATTGTCATCCAGTGACTTGGCATTACTATCTAATTTCGAAACTGTCTGTTATGCTTCAGCTGGCGTAGATGACGTTGGGAGGAGATCAACAGTGTCTCCTTGACCAGGTTGGTTTGAAGACCGGATCTAATTTTGCTATTATTTGGAGTTGAATCACGAGGTTGTTCTATACTTTCATTGAATGTTGGGATTAACTTCTTACATTGCAGGCTTTCGTTTAGAAACTGGAAACAAGATGCAGCGTCGGACTTCTATCACGTCCCAGTCAGTGGAAGCTGAACAATACACAGGCATGTCCGACGATCATATCCTACCCATGCGAGCTCTCGAGGTACTTGCAAACAGAGGCTATGTTATTCTCCGCTAGAGTGTCTATAACCTCTTACCGTGCTGCAGGCTTGCGACTAGTTGAAAAAGCTGTAATTCTCGATGCGCAAGTAGCAGGCATCAGTGCAGAGGCTAGCACCCACGGCCCGTGGAGATGTGTTCTTGATGGTGTTCCTGGCCTCAACGAGACAATTACCGCAGTCGCCATAGCACTCGGCAAAACCGTAAGCAACGTATGGAGCGTCTCCAACGCTGGTGTAGTTGGAAGAGTCGCTGCCCGTGTCTTTGAGGATGTCGAGGAGACGATTCTGATTGGTGGCGTATGGGGTGGAGAAGTCGATCTCCTCGCTCGAGAAGACACCGTCCCTCTCCTCCCTGCAGTGGCTCAGCTGCTGGGTGGCAGCCATGGAAACCAGAGACGCAACAGCGAGCACACAGGCCAACGAAGTTGAAGAAGACATCCTGGGAGCTGAGATGAAAAAAAGCTTCAAACTGGTGCGCACAAACCCCGAGTTTCTTACTTATACTCGAAGCTGATCATCTTCTTTCTTGTAACGGCACCGAAGGAATCGAAGAAAATGGAGGAGACTTCTTGCATGGTATGCGGTAAGCTTCGCGTGACTGTGAGGAACTAAAGAATCTCAAAATGGTTTGCTGGTGATGTTATATTTTCACTCTCAATAGAAATAGGAGCAATAGTTTGAAGATTTGCAACGTTGGTATGTAAGTTGGAGAGGAGCACATACGGCGAAGACTCTACTCTCCCATACGCAAGAGAGTTTCGGGCCGCCCAGCAAGCACGCTCGACGTCTCCCTGGGTTTTGGAAGCTCCTAGAACGATGAGCCAGCCCTCCTCATCCGGTTGAAAAGGCATGGCTTCCATGAGCTCCTCCGCCACTTCCAGTCTTCCACACCTTGCAACCAAGTCCACCATCACCTCGTACTGCTCTGCCGTGGGTTCCATCCCGTGATCCTGCGTCATTGCTGCGAAGAACATCCATCCCCGAGATACCAGTCCGGCGTGGCTGCAGCAATTCAGCAAGTTCGTGAAGGTGACACCGTCGGGATCAATGCCATAGTGCCTCATCAACCGGAACTTCTCCAGGCATTCTCCGTGAAAGCCGTGGTGGGCAAGAGCAACGACCATAGCAGTCCAGCCGACGACGTTCCTCTCGACCATTCCCTCGAAAACTTGGCGAGCTTCCATCAGGCTTCCACACTTGGCATACATGTGGACGAGAGAGTTTCCCACGGGACCGTCCGGGTGGAGCTTGAGCCGAGAGTGTATCGCTCTTCCTTCGTCCAGAGCACCGATGGCAGCACAGGCACCGAGGATCCTATTCAGCGTCACCGCGTCTGGAACCAAAGCACTCGTCTTTTCCATCTCCTGGAAGAGATCCAGCGCCTCTCTCTCCCGGCCAGCGCTTGCCAGTGCCAGGATCACCGAGTTCCAGCACTCGACCGTCCGGAAACTCACTCGCTGGAACGCCGCCACCGCGTCGTCCACGGCACCACAGGCCGCGAAGAGACTCACGAGAGCGTTTCCAACGCCCGCATTCGCCACGTCCAGCCCGGTGGAAGCAATCCAGCAGAAAACTCTCCTCACGTCGGGAAGTAGAAGCAGCAGGGATGGAGCGGCCAGTCTTCTCAAGGAGCTGAGAAAGGCCGTGAAGAACTTAGCTTGCGGTTTGACGCCCTCGAGGATCATCACTCTCAAAGCAGCGATCCCGGCTCCAGCGTCGCCGTACCGGAAGTAAGCTTCGATCATGGTGGCCCAGGCGATGGAATCCTTGCTGCTCATGCCATCAAACATGGACTTTGCATCGATCAAGCTCCCGCAGTTGGCGTACATCACCATCAACGCAGTCTCCACAACCAAGTTCGTGGCTGCCGGAGAAGAAGAAGAAAGGATCCTGGCATGGATAGTGCGGCCTTGATCCAGAGCTTGGATCTTAGAACACGCCAGGAGAAGGCTGGAGAGGATAAAGTCGTCGGGTTCCAGGCCTTCCAAGTTCATCCGGTGGAAGATCCCAATCGCCTGGGAGTAGCGCTCGTTGCGAACGTAGCCGGAGATCATGGCAGACCAGGAGACGAGCGTCTTCTCCTGGATCGAGGAGAAGATGGTGGCGGCGGTCTCCAAATCCCCACACTTGGCATACATGTCCACGAGCGCGGTGGAGGTGACAGCATCGAGGCAGTGCTGGTGTTGGATGATCCTGCGATGGATCTCTCGCCCCTGCGCTAGATCGCGAAGAACCGAGCAAGCCTTGATGACGCTGGGATAGACGAAGGGATTGGGCGGAAAGACGTCCATGGCGGCGTAGAGATGGAGGGCCTCTCTCTCGGCGCCAGATCGGACGAAGGCGGCGATGAGATTCATCCAGGAGTCGGCATCGGGGGCCCGGATATGATCGAAGACGAGCTGGGCTTCGCGAGGGCGGCGGCACTTGCCATACATTTGGATGAGGCGGTTCTGGAGATGGGTGCTGTGGGCGAGGCCGCTGTGGTGGATGTGAGCGTGGATGCGCTTGCCTTGGGAGAGATGGGCGGCATCGTTGCAAGACCTGAGCAGCGCCGCGAGCTCCTCCTCCTCGTCGCGCAAAAACCCTAGCGGAGGGCATCTGCGCGCCAAAATTTTCATATGCAAACCCTAACCTCTGTATAAACCCCAATTAAACCTCTCTCTCTCTCTCTCTCTCTCTTCCCCACACACAAACACACAGACATTTTACAGAGAAACTCCATTCTAGTTTCTCATTGTTTGTCACATTTATCTTCCAAGTCTTTCTTTGAGTGAGATGCTGCAAGTAAGGCTGCTCCAAGACCTGATCCATCTTTTGATAGCTCTATCACAACTTTTGCTGCTGCCTCCTGTCCCAGAAGCTCTACCAGTGCTTCGTGTAGTTTTGCCCGGAACTTTGTATAGTGCTCGTACAGGCTTCCATCTATGGCTATACAGATCTTTTTCTTCCTCCCACCGATCTTTCTCACGATCCCGACAATCCCTGCCGCTACCAATCTCGCGCCCCGAGCTGCCGTGATCTCGCAAACGTCTTTGATCACTTTGCGAACTTCGAGTGGCAGCTCTTTTAGCTGGGAATGTTTGGAATCAATCAAGCGATGACGAAGATGAATCAAACAGAGGCTTACTCCAAAGATGGTTTCCATGACGCGTGCAACATTTTCCAGGTTCTCACTTTCGTCCTCGTGCATTATAGACACGTCTCGTGTTCTATAAGAGATGGAAAAATAAGAGTGAGAAGAGCAACTTTCGTAAGTTCTTGCCTTAGAACAAAAGGTGTTGCCATGTTGCTGGGAATCTCTGTTACACCTCCAAGCAAACATGCTTGCTCTGCAAGTTTTAGAATCATCCTCCGGACAATGTCTCCAAGGTACATTCCCGAGAAAAGCTTTTCAAACACCTACAGTTACATAGAATGTAAGTGTAAACAGAAATCTGGAAAAGCTCATCAAAAACTATCACAACCTGTTGTCCAGGATGAACACTCTCAGCATCCAAATCATCGTCAATCTCCGTCTTTGGGATGTGAGGTGACCAGAAATGACCCCATTCTATATTGATCACCTGCAAACATGTTCATTCTAATCAACAAGATGAAATCAAGTTCTTACTGTTTCTTCAGGTTTTGGTAGCGATGGTGGCCACTTTGGGATTTCACTGGTTTGTTCTACATAGCATGCGTTAGAACCGGTTCCCAGAATCAGCCCCGCCATTACATCCTCGTTCCAGTATCGTCCTCCGGCCAAAGTTCCAGTTGTATCATTCACCTGTAATACAGATATTAGTTCTACCATTTTATAAGGTTTTACTATTTGGTTTTTCATTTCCTATTATTGTTATTATTTACGTACCATGGCAATGACATGCATGTCCAGTTTGCACCTCTCCATTGCTGCCTGTAATTCTTTGACAACGTCTTGACCGATCTTGACGTACCAAAGAAACAAAAAGAGGTTCAATACATCATCTCAGACTAGTAATACTACGTACCGTTTCAGCGATTGCAAAACCTTTGGTCCACTTGACCAGCTTCCCAGAGTTGAGTGATTCCTGTGACACCGGGAAGGAAAATGTGAAGCCCAGTTCACGCTTTTGCCCCAGGATTAAGTTGCAATCGACGCCTTCGGTGGCCACGAAATCAGCGAGAACTCGTGCAATGTAATCAAACAGCTCCTGGAAGCCAATGGGTTCTTTGTTTCCGTGATTTTCCGAGGATACTCAAGAGTGGACGTAAGAGAGCTTACTTCATTGGTGCTAGTCATAATCTCGGAAGGAATGGAATCCACCTTGGACTCTTGCTTGAGGATTCTCTTCTCCTTGCCACCGAGCTGCACTCGAAGGACTCGAAAGTTGGTTCCTCCGAGATCCAGCCCGTAGAACAAGCCAGTTTCATTGCTACAGGAAAGCATCTAAGATCTCGAGATCATGTAAATCGAGGAGCAAGAACTTACCCGCACGGCAAATGCTCAACGAAGGAGAGTAGCATCCTGAGCCTACTCTCACCGTCACTCTGGAGGCCAGCTTCCATCTGCGAGAGCATGTCTTGCGAGATTTTGCGCAAGGTCTCCACGGGAGTGGCACAGGCATTGCGAAACTTGTCCCGCATCGAGTGAGCAGCCTCCAGGCCCTTGGGAATCATCTTCCTCGGCTTGTTCTTGCTACTCTTGCTCCTGCTCATGAAAATGGCCGACCCCAAAGCGAAGGAGACGAGCAATCCTGGGCAAAGTTTGATAGATTTCTATCTCCCAAATCTAGGAACTGCGTACCTGTCACTGCCCATCGCCAAAATTCCGCCATTCGAGCTAGGCTATGGTCGCAAATGCCCAGATCGAATCGAGAAAGAGTTCTGAAGTAGTACTTGGTCCTTGCCACTCTGCTTGGATTCCCTTACAAAATATCTTTCATTGTTTGTACACACGTGGACCAAAGCATATTCTTGTGTGCCTTGGCGAATATGCCTCCACTTGAAATTAGGGCTTTTGGGGGCCAAGGGTTTATGGCTTTGCGCAGCGCAGTGGCGTGTGCTCTTCCGGCATTGGCGCGCGCGGCGGCGACGGCGGCGGGCAACGGGCGCGCGCTGGCGCTCAAATCCTCGCCCTCGGCGATGCAGTCGGCCAGCATTCTCTGTAGCGGCAAAGCAGCTGTGAGTGTTTGATTCGCGAAATGTGAGTGAGCGCCACACTGATTTCGCTCCAGGACGAGCTCATGGAAGCGCTCATGTGTTTTGGAGCTACTTCTTGCAGCATTGAGGATGCAAACAAGGAAGAAGAGGAGGTAAGAATAATTCCTTTTGTTTGGCGACAGTTCCACTCAGTTTTTGGGTTTTTTTTCTTGCGTTTTTCCGTGCATAGTTTTCCATTGCCTTGCTCGAACTTTAATGATTTCTTTCTCTTCGCTTCTGTAGAAAGATGGTCCAGTTCCCTGGCAGGCTGGGGATTCGCGTAGTTTTTGGAGCAAGGTTCGTTTTGGGATATGTGATTTCTCTTTGTCTTTCTCCCTTCTGTGAAAGTCGGCCTGACTTTGTGCGCTTTACAGAGTTGCATCACAGCCATGTTCGGAGGAGACGTTGATGTCTCGGAGGTTTTTGCGCTCGCAGCTGACACGCTGGGGCTGAAAGAGGTTCCAAAGTACGAGCTTAAAATAATCCACGAGTGCGATTGGCTGCAGCAAGTTAAGGTTGGTCTTTCTCTTCTCCTCTCCTTTTGTTTTTTTTTTTTGTTTTCCCTTCTCTCTCTCTCTTCGTTTCGGTTTTTTCCTTTTCCGGGGCGTGAAGCTGACTCTCTCAGAAAAACAAAACGCAGGATTCGTTCCAACCGGTGCAAGTGCTTCCACGTTTTTGGATCGTGCCAGAGTGGTGCACGCCTCCTGTAGGTGAGCCACTTGCTGCTGGTGACAAGTAGCTACAAGCATTGTGTTTTTTGTTCCACAGGACAGTGAGGCGACCAACATCATTCTTAATCCGGGACTGGCATTTGGCACTGGAGAGCATCCAACAACAAAGCTTTGTTTGAAATGGCTGCACAAGTCAGTGAGAAGCGGGGACAATATTCTAGACTATGGGACAGGCTCAGGCATCCTTGCGATAGCGGCGTTGAAGGTAACATTTTTTACTACTTACTCTTGTTCTTACTCTCTGTTTTTTTCTCTCTTTGGTTTTGTTTAGATGGGAGCTTCACATGCAGTTGGAGTTGACATTGATCCCATGGCAGTATCTTCCTCGGCTTCAAACGCGACGTTGAACGCTCTCGATCCACACGCATTCGAGGTTTTCATCGCTGCAGCCGACGATAAAGACGATCCCGTGCCGCATGGGCCCGGAGTTTTCGACGTCGTCGTCGCAAACATCCTTCTCAACCCGCTTCTCACTCTCGCGAACTCCATCGCCGGCTACACAAGACCAAAAGGAAAAGTTGGCCTCTCTGGCATTATACTCGAACAGGTAAAGCATCTCTTTTTTTTCTTCTCCTCTGCGATTTTTCTATCTTGTCTTTAATTTGATGCCAAATCCATCAACGTCTTTACAGGTTGAAAGCGTTGTGAGGACTTATTCCCCGTTCCTGCGCGATATAGAAATCAGCGACGAAAATGGCTGGGCATGTGTGTGTGGCATCCGGAAATGCGAGTGATGTAAGCTCGCTTGTCCAAGTTCTCGCTCTCTCGTCTTAAAACTCTCACAATCTTCCGATAAGGATCTACGGAGGCTTGGCAGCAAGCGAAGTGACGATGCGTTTCATTTTATTCCCTCATTCGTAACACTCGCTATAAGTTAAGCCAGATTCGTTGCGTCGCGGCTTGATAGTTTTATAACAGGAAGCAAACAAAGAAGCAAAGTATCTCTAGATCTGTTTGGCGCTTTGGCCAAGTGACAAAGACGAAGATATGATGACGCTATATGGATCTTTGTTTTTGTTCACAAGGTTAAACCCCATTAGATGATTAGAACTTAAAATAAGGCCATCTTTTAGGGTTTAGCTTTCGAGGAGGAGGATGCTTTCACGAGTTTTAGGAAGAAAGTGCTCGACCAGCAATGCATTACGGTCCTTTCAGGTGTACAGATACAATCCCCAGGATGGCAAATCACCCCACCTCCAAGACTACAAGGTTGACACCAGCAACTGCGTTATGATGCTTGATGTTTTGCTTGAGATCAAGAACAAGCACGACTCGAGCCTCACCTTCAGGCGCTCTTGTCGCGAAGGCGTGTGTGGCTCTTGCGCTATGAACATCAATGGTAAGAACTGCTTGGCCTGCCTAACAAAAGTTGGCAGGGATGAGGATGGTATTGCCTCGACTGTGGTGTTGCCTCTGCCCCATATGTTTGTGATTAAGGACTTGGTGGTGGACATGACCCATTTCTATCAGCAATACAAGAGCATTGAGCCATGGCTGAAGACCAAACACCAAAAAGAAGATGGGCAGCGGGAGTTCTTGCAAAGCAAAGAAGAGAGAGCAAAATTGGATGGAATGTGGGAGTGCATCCTGTGTGCCTGTTGTAATACTTCTTGCCCTAGCTACTGGTGGAACACACCTACATTCCCTGGTCCAGCAATTCTGCTCCAAGCATATAAGTAAGTGTATTGCCATTCCACATTGTTTTTCCCTACTAAATTGTTTCCAAATGTTTAGAATGATTGCTGATAGCCGTGATGACTTTGCCAAAGAGCGCATGGAGGCCCTCCGGGGAGAGATGAAGATTGGAAGATGCCACACCATTCGGAATTGCTCAAATACTTGTCCAAAGGGACTAAATCCCGCTGAAAAGATCCTACAGATCAAAGGGATGCTCGGCTAAAGAGTTGGAAATGTTCTTTGACAAAAAAAAAAAAAAACAAAGTTTTGGGCAAAACACTTGCATTAGTCCTGATAGATTAGTTTTGATTTGCAACTTGTTGAAGAGGTAGCAAACAAAGAGGCAAAGTATTTCTATAACTCTCTTTGGCGTTTTGGCCACCATGGCATGGTCATGGGCATGCGCATGACCATAGATGGCCATGGCAGGAGATGCATGGCCATGGCCCTTTGACCATCTTGTTTTCCTCGTATTGTGTGCGTAGCCGTCGGATGCGAGGAATGGTCGAGATCTAACCAGCTGTGCCCAGCCTGTTGGCACTTCTCGTACTGTAATCTTATCCAATCTGTGTTGGTCCATTGAATTGAATCTCGTCGCGTTCTTTTTCCACGAGCGGATAATGCGTCGAATATCCTCGGCATCGTTTAGAGCATCTATAAAGCATTTAAATATATTCACATAGTTTTCGCGATGATCGTCTTGGTTTGTTGCGCTGGCGATTTTCCTGTGCTTGTCAAGTAATCATCGATCGAGGCATGGTGGCGTGGTGGTCTCCTCCGAGAGAGCCACGTTTATTCATTTCTTTCCATTTTCTCTCGCCGTCGTTCTAACTCTCTCTCTTCCTGGGCGGTCTCAATCTAGAAACAATCCAGTTGGTGATAAGTCGAGCGGCAGGAGCTCATCAATTCGCTGCTAAGGATTGACACGAACCTTTTTTCTTTGCTGTGACTTTTAGACCATTTTCATTCCGGTAGCTCGCACGTAAGCGTCCATGGAGAGACGGGGCCTGAGGAAAGGCAAAAGTACGTTAGAAACAACTCAAACGAGAGTAAAAGCCCGGCTCAAAACAAGCAAGAAAAACGAGGAGCTTTCTCACCAGCACGACGACTTGGCGCTCATATCGAACTGGAAAGAGCGACTTGAGAGAATGAGGTCGCGAGTCCAGCTATGGAATTGACGCCGGAGCCGGACACTTTGGCCAGTCCTTGCAGCATCCTGATAACTTCCGGCGTGTCGTCAACAAAATACTTGGCCTTGCTGGGTTTTTGCCCGACTGTGCAAGCAAACAGCTCCGCCGAGTGCTGTAAAGCGATGCTCTCGAACATGTCCTCGTCAGACCTGTCGTCTCCGACACACAAAATAAAATCCGGGGGCGTTCCCTGGCTCGCCATCGTTTGCAAGATACGTTCGACAATGATCCCTTTGCTCACTCCCTGAAAACAAGCCGACAAAAGGTTGCACTTTAGTTCCCAAAAACAAAAAAGGGATCAGCCAGGCCAGTGCAAGCAAGCAAGAAAGAAAGAAAGACACGTTTCCTGCTTACCTGTGGCTTCACCTCGACTATGTGCTGACCAGTCTTGACAGCAACCGGCTCGTTTGCCAGGACGTTCTCCAAGTGGTCGACGAGCTCCTTGGCTTGCCACGAACCAAAGTCGGGATCGGCATCCTCATGGTGCCAAACTGCAGCACTCTCTTTGGCTTCGATGAAAGAACCATCGGTGCTCTCCTTGTACTGCCGCATTATAGGCAGCACAATCTGCTTCCACTCAAACTCCGTCGCCGACACGCTCATTATCCATTCCTTGTCCCTGCACCACCTGTACAACCATCAGGCAAACGTAAGTTGTCTGCCCCGCGGTAAGATAAAGCTAAACAAAAACCTGTAGTAAAACCCGTGCTCTGCCGCAAGTCCCAACTTGTCACACGGCTCAAACCAATCGCTCAAAGTCTTCCTCTCCCGACCGCTTACGACGAACACCACGTTCCTGGGGTCATTGCACAGCGTGTTCAAAATTGCTACGACTTCTTCGCTAGGCGTCCTGTTCACCGAGGACTGGGGCACCATTGTGCCGTCGTAGTCGAGAAGTATAGCTCTGCTACCGCACCTCCTGTAAACCGACGCTATATGCTCCGCGGAAAGCTTCCTAAAGTTTGGATCCAATGCCACCACCCTGAATCCCAACCCAAATCCAATCCCGTAGCACAACCTCCTGGCATGATCCTGGCAAGTTCTCTCCAGGTCCGTCACAAAGCTCTGAGCCCAATACCCGACGTCGTGCGAGCTCACGTACTTGTAGTGCTTTTCGTGCCTTGCACACTTCTCCGCCTCCGGCATGGAGATAGCCGCGTTGAGAGCCTCTGCCAGCGCCTCTATGTTCCACGGGTTCACTCGTATGGCCCCGCTGAGTGACGGCGAGCAGCCTATAAACTCCGACACCACGAGCATGCTCCTCTTTAAAGATCGCTGACCACTAGCCTGTTGCTGCTGCTGCTGCTGCTCGTCACGAATGCCTTCTCTACAAAGAATGTACTCATACGGTATCAAGTTCATACCGTCCCTGACGGCTGTGACGACGCAGCACTCGGAGATGGCGTAGTAAGCTGTTCGCTCGTGGAAGGGGACGTGCCTCTCGAGCAGCACGATAGGTTGGTATCCTTCCCATCCAAACGTGTCGTTCACCCGCCTGGCCACAGCATACGCCTCCTGCTGAATTTCCACGACGTCTTTACCTCTGCCCCGTGCCGGATTTGCTATCTGTATCAGCACTGCCTTGCCTCGCAGCTCCGGATGCAGCCTCAGCAGCTCCTCCATGGCTAGAAACTTGAGGCCTATCCCCTTGAAGATGTCCATGTCGTCCACACCTAGCAGCACGATCTTCCCCTCGTGTTGAGCCCGTAGCTCCGCCAGCCGGGAAACTGCACTCTCCATTTGCAAGCCGGCTTCTATCTGTCCCTTGTGGATCCCAACAGGCATGATCTTCACCCCGACTCTCCGCCCGTAGTAGTCGAGACCAATGTACCCCCGCTTGGATTCATACTCGAGCCCCAGCATCCGGCTACAGCACGAGAGGAAGTGCCTCGCGTAGTCGAAAGTGTGGAATCCTATCAGGTCGGAGTTGAGCAAGGCCTTGAGTATCTCGTCCCGGACAGGTAGAGTGCGGTATATCTCCGAGGATGGGAACGGGCTGTGCAGGAAAAATCCCATCTTTATCCTGTTGAAGCGCTTGCGGAGGAACGTAGGCAGCACCATGAGGTGGTAGTCGTGGATCCAAACGTAGTCGTCGTCCGGGCATATCACTTCCATGACCTTGTCCGCAAAGATCTTGTTGACGGAAAGATAAGCCTGCCAGAGCGAGCGATCAAAGCGGCCGCCGTTGTCCGGGCTGAGAGGGAGCATGTAGTGGAAGAGCGGCCACAGGTGCTGCTTGCAAAAACCATGGTAGAACCTGGAACGGAGATGGCTCGGTAGAAATGCCGGGACGCAGTTGAAACGATCAAGGAGGCTGGCAGCCACTTCGTCCTGTTCTTGAGCCTCCACCTCGACATTCAGACAGCCGATGTAAAGAACCTCCATGTCCTCAGGGAGGCCATCCTTGAGCCTGAGGAGGAGGGACTCCTCGTCCCAGCTAAAGTCCCAGCACAGGCTGCTGGGATTCCTCTCCGCGTTCAACGGGAGCATGTTGGCGACGATGATCGTCCGGTCCTGCGCCGTGCACGAGTTCCAGTCGGGTATCAAGCTGCTCCCGCTGTTGCCGTTGTTGTCATCCTCGTGCTGCTGGAGCTCTGCGGGAAATCCTGCCACTGTCATCACGCGTGGCATCCTGCCCCGAACAAACGGAGGCAGATCGCCAGCTGCGAGCTCCAGAAGATTGGAATAAGACTTGGACAACATCCCTGCTTCTCTGATGCTTTTGCTGCTGCTGCGGCTGCTGGCTGCCGATCGACCAAGCTAAAGAATTAGGCCCGAGTACCTTGGCTGCTCTGGCGAGCGATTGCGAGCCGAAAAAATCCCTCTTTTCTTCCTGCTTTCCTGCTATCCTGTCCCAAAACTATCCCCAGGAGCTGTCGCCGACGATCATGCTCTCGGGAAGCTAGTGATATATGCAGAGGCGGCGCTGGAGGAGCACGATACCAACAGTAGCCGCCACACTCTACGCCCCGTGTTCTTATCCGCCCTCCCACACATCCCGCCTGTCCTCGAAAAGACCAACCAACCGGAGCCGGAGAAGCGCCTAGCAACAGGCTTGTCTTGGCCGCAAACAAGCTCTCACAGCACACCACCGCAGCAGCGCTCCGGCGCCCGAAAAAACAAAAGGGAAGACCGTAGGGAGCAAAGCCCGGTGCGCTGCTACTGCGTTTGCCGACCGACAGCGAGAATGAAGCTGGAAGGGAAAGAGCCTCGTAAGAACTTAGACCGAGAAGAATTGGATGCGATCAATGCTGAGACAAGCAAGCAATCGGGGACGACGTGGCCAGTCCGTCCTCTTTGTGTTGAACGAAGCACCAAACAAAACACAAAGCAAAAAAAGAAAAAAAACCACTCTCTTCGTCTTCACAAATCCTCACACACACACCCTGCTGTTCACAACTAGGCCTAAGTAGCAAACCTCCAGGGTAGAAGAGCGAGAAAAAAACCATATTTTACACAGCACAGGGTACGATCGCCACTGTTTGTTGCTCCTCCATGACCCAACAAATGATAAAGAATTTCTTCACGCACACAAAAGCACCGAGCAACGCAGGCAAACCACAAGCGGCAAGAAAACGAGAAAATTTCAGCTGAAAAGGAAGGAGAAACCGACCAGACAGCGCGCGATCGTAGAATGTAGGAGCTGCCGACGACGTGGGATCGCGTCCTGGCCGCCTGGATCACGCCAAAGACCAGCAGCCAAACCTCCTTCCTCCTCCTCCACGCTAATGCAAACAAAGAGCTTTCTTAAAACCCTAACCCTAATCCCCGTTTACTTCGTCCGGTTCGATTCCTGCGGGCTATCCTCATTTAATGCGTGGCGGCGGCGCATGGGCATAGTGCCGTGCATGGCCCCATGGCCGCATGACGTGGCGACACCCCATAAGCCGAGGCCCTTCCAGCTCACATCCGACGGACACTGTCTCGCGTGGCGCACCGCCGTCGGTTTCGCACATCCGTTTTTAACGGCCCAGATTGAATGCTCTCCAATAGAGAGAGTGTGTGATCCTCTCTGTTACGCAGCTGGCGCTCGGTACTCTCGCTTTTATCTTTCTTGTGTGTTCTTCCTCTTTGATCCTCTGGAACCGCAAGAACGACGACTAAGAGATTAAATAGCTTGAGAAACGTGGAAAGGAAAAATATGGAGCGCTCACTCACAGATTTGCCTGCTGCTTGCTGCGCTGTTGCTGCTCACACTGCTGCTGCTCCCAGGGCTTTCAATACATTATTCTTCATCGTGGTCGATCATTCTGCCCCACACTTTCAAAGCATCGTGATTAAACAATTGCTTAGCAGCTGTATAAACCACCTGTGACGTTTACTGTTTCTCTATCGAGTGCTGCGAAAAGGAAAAGAAACAAACCATTAGCCTCTTCGAGGAAAGAGAGAGGCGGAAGAACTAATCACCTGATTAGACGTTTCTCCGCATAGGAACCTTGTCCTGCTGGGATGCGGAACAACTCACGTTGGTTCCCAGCTGCTCGAAGATGATAGGAAAAGAAAGAAAACAAGTAGTAGTAAAAAAAAAGCTTTCCTCGAGCCGAGCTTCCAGAATTTCTCTGTTGTAGTAGCATGATAGTCGATCCTCCACCTGTGTTGTTGTTTCCTGTTCACTAAATAGCTTTGAGCTTGAGTGAATCAGAGTATCACTCACTCCACGACCCGACCAGGAGCAGCTTCCCCATCCTGTTTTGATGCTAGATCCAAATGATGCCACTCATTGCCTCATCTCCACCAATTCTTTCTTAAGCTTTCGCCCGCGTCCTTTGCCTTTTGCGAACGTACCGAAAGGAAAAAAAGCACCGCATCCGCGTGCACGCCCAATCATCCTGTCCCGAAGTAGTACCCGTCACTTAACCGGGCAAAAAGCTTCTTTGCCATAGAAAAATCGCCAGATTCACAGCTAGTGCAAAAACTCTGATCCTCTTCGCCATCTTGCAAACTTTCTTGCCTTCTTTCCAGGCTGACCGGATCGGTTTTCGTGCAGTCAACACTCCCAGCTATATACGAACGTTGTTGGCAGAGTCCCCCGAGATAAAAATATATCTGTCCACCACCGAGCAAACGAGCCAAAAACCACCTGAAGCTTCTAGTACCTCAGCAGCGAGTACTTGACTTTCAAGCAGATCTTTCCGTTTTCCACGTCCAGCTTCGCTCCGGTCACAATCCAATGTCCTGGCTCATCCTGGATCCCTTTGGACATCTCGTTTATGTCCACGAACTTTAATAACCTGGAACCGTGCACAGACTGCGATGGACCCCCGGAAAACACTGCCGAGTTTTGAACAAAGCGCTGGGGTTGCGCATTTTGTGGGTTGACGCTGGAGCTGAATCCAAACTGGGAGAAGAAGCCGGTGCTGGATGACTTTTGAGACGACGCTGGCATGTGATCCCACACTGACCGCCTTATACTGCATCCAGGAACTCTCGTAAACTGGAGCCTGAGGAAAAGCACGGGCCTTGTTCTTGAGTCCGAGACCTGGAGTTGAGCGCCGGTTACTATGAAAGCACTGGCCTCGTCACCAATGCATGGCTCAACGTACTCGACTGGCGCGGTGTTGACGTGAGAGAAGCTCTTCCACTGGACGTGTTCCAACCACCGTGGATGTTCCTCTGACCTTTTCCAGCGCGGTGCGTCGCTGTACGTGCTTGTACCCCAGTGCTGCTCAAGAATTTTCGGAAGATTGGAGAGATACTGCAAGTGAACTGATAGTCTGTTGAGACTTTTCCCCTGGATATACAAGCGCAAGCCAGTCACGGGTCGTTTGGAAACAGTTACCTGCAAAAAACAATGCGTTTGCAAGACGGTGACCAGCCGAGAGACGTACCTCGTCCGTAGCTACATGTAGCTTAGGCCCCATGGGAGAGAATTGCAGCGCTGGTAGCTTTGCGCTGCTCGTTTGACTCGTAGAAGGATCTAAACTTGGAGACCATTGACGGGGTACCTGGAATTCTAGAAAATATAGCAACTCGTCAATCGGAGGCTTGTCTGCAAAACCAAGGAAAGACAAGCAAGATAAGTTGATGAAACTGGACAAAACTTACAGCGGAGATAGAGATTGATGGCATGAGTCAAGAACCCTGTTCCGGGAACACCAGCCAGCAAAGAAGTTATTGGGACAAACGACATGGATACAACTTCCGGGGCGTCAGGAACCGAGAGTAACCATGGGTTGTGGTCCCTTATGGAATCTAGTCCGCCTCTTCGCTTGAACTTCACCTCCACATTCTGAGCATATGCACGAAAACGTTAGAATAATCACTAAAGAACAAATAGTCAGATGCTCACGTCGTTCGAGATTGAAATGGAGCTATAGTTGTTTATCACTTTCGAGCGGTCTATCATCGCAAATGGGTCTGCAACCTAGACAAAGAAAGAAAAAAGCATAGGATATGACCTTTCAAGGACGAGAGGCTTCTAGAAAAACATGTAGTTACCTTCTTCTTTGCTCCCTTCTTGAAAACTTTGAACCGTCTGTTACTCCTTCCACCACCATCCGCAAATCTTTGTTCGGAAATTGACTCTAGATATCGTTGAATGTCGGCCGCATTGAGTGTCGAGGATTGGTTCTGTCGGAGATAAATCACGTCCTTGCCTCCAACTTTTACGCCCGTGATTACGTGAGTTCCATATTTCTCGATAAACCTGCAGATAATGAAGGTGTAAGGAGCTCACAACAGAGATGCAAAGAGAGTAAAAACGAAGAGATAATACCTGGTGAGTTCTAAAGGCTGCCAAGTCGATGAGACAGCGTCTTTGACTTCCTGAATGAGCCTCAAGGGCGCTTTCGTGACTTTCACTTCGTAAAGGATAGCGTAGTAGCCATCGATTGCTAGACTTTTTGTGGACAATGCATCAACTTGCCACGGACCTTTGAGATCAAACATGGCAGTGAATAATCCCAGCGGCATTTTCCCTGCGATTCCAACGTTGTGATTAAACCTCTCGGACATCTGCAAAGAAAAAAAAAGTTTTTTTTACATGACTTAGAAAGGAACTAGATGAAGTTCGCAAGAGCTACAAACCTGGTGAAAATCCAAAACGTCGCTCCGGAATCGCGTATTTTCTCCCTTGTCCACTTTGATGTCCTTGGAAACATTCTCCACAACCACATTCCCAGGAACAATGAGCTCGCGGGTCTCTTGATCCACGTCGATCAGGCAGCCCTTGGCGTACTCCACTTGGAGATCCAAAGTCACGTCAAATCCGCGGCCAAGCGCTCGAATTGCGGCGACGGCCTTGGCCTCCGCTCCAGCCATAACCATAGACTTGAGACGATCGATCGATACTACTTACTTGCGCAAATTCGCTGGATTCCAATGCGATCGATCGCAGCCCTGAATCTTTGAGGAAAAAGAGGAAGAAGAACAAGGAAAGAAGAGAGCTTCCAAGAAACCCTAGAGCCAAGAACTGTGTTCCACCGCGACACTACTACTACCCACTCGACGAGACAAGTCAAAGTCAACGCGCTGTGGAAAAGTAGATTCGAGAGGATATTCGTTCCTAGCAAATTGGAATCGAGCCTTTGACCTCCAAGGAATATGCAGAGAATCTTTTCGAGCTAGAACTGGAAATGTAGGTAGCAGTCGGTGGTGGAGTTTTTCAGCACGATGAGCTCTCCTAGGGTTTTTTGATAGCGCCTAGATTCTCGGATGGCGCAGGCCCCTGACGCTCTACATCTGGTTGGATCGCTGTCCTCGTCGTCGCAGAGATCGCTGCTGCAAAACGGCAAAGAGGTGAGTAGTGATCTTGGCAAGACGCTCGAGGATGAAGCGCGGCAGCAGCAGCAGCAGGAGGCGAGCGAGCGATGGCAGATTTCCAATCTAGCGTTCTTCCAGCGCCTCACTCTGGGCTACTCCTCGTTGGCATCGCAAGCCCAGCCAGTATTATCCCCGACCAAGACCTTCCGCAGGATCGCCATAGCCCGAGAGCTCGTTTCGATCAACACCCCCGACGTGGAGGAGCCCGCGAGCAGCAGTCACGGGATCCGGCTGAGAGAGGGCGTCAACCTTCCAGGGGTGGGCGAAATTCGCTGGAAGATCATGAAGAACTACGCTATGGAGTGGCTGAAAAATCCCAAGAACTTAGCTCTCCTGGTGTGGATCCTGGCGGTGGCGGTCTCGGGGGCTATTCTCTTCATGGTCATGACGGGCATGCTCAACCATGCCATTCCCAAGAAGAGCTCCAGGGACGCCTACTACGAAGTGAACAACCAGATACTCAACGCTCTCTTCACGCTCATGTGTCTCTACCTTCATCCCCAGCGCTTCCTCCATCTCTATCAGCTCCACCGCTGGAACAGGTCCGACGTCCTCGCGCTCCGGAAGATCTATTGCAAAGACGGTCTGAGGAAACCACACGAATGGGGTCATATGCTCGTCGTGGTGATCCTCCTCCATCTCAATTGCTTCTCACAGTACGCGCTGTGTGGACTCAACTGGGGGTACAGGAGATCGGAGAGGCCAGCGATCGGAGTGGCGGTGTGCCTGGCAGCAGCAATCGGCTGCGCTGCCGCGGCTGGGATCTACAACACTTTGAGCCCGCTGGGAAGAGACTACGTCCAGGACGAAGAGGCCGGCCAGCTACACCTCCATGAGGATCTAGAAGCCGATGCTAGACCCAAGCTCCAAGCTCCGAGTCGCACAGGTGGTCGGTTCTACAGCCTTTTGGAACGTAGGAAGTCTTTCGCTTCGAGAGATGGCAAGCTGGTGGAGCGGCCCGAGTGGCAAGGTGGTGTTTTAGATTGCTGCATGGACCGGGAGGTGGCGCTCATGTCTACGCTGTGTGGATTCTGCGTCTTCGGGTGGAACATGGATAGGCTGGGTTTCGGCAACCGGTTCGTCCACATTGCGACGTTCTTGCTCATATGCTCGGCTCCATACTGGATCTTCCTTCTGGCAGCGGGCAACATCGACAACAGGTACGTGAGGCAGGGGCTGGGATTCGCAGGGATAGTGCTGTGCGTCTTCGGGCTCATGTATGGTGGTTTCTGGAGGATCAAGATGCGGACAACTTTCGGGCTTCCTGGTCAGAGGTGGTGCTGCGGGCAGCCGAATATGACAGACTGTGCACTGTGGATGTTCTGTAGTCTGTGCTCGCTGTGTCAAGAGGTCCGAACGGCAGCTCGCTACGACGTCCGCGATGACAAGTTTTACGTCAAGGAACCGAGAAGGAATCGGGAAGGCTCGTCGTTTTCGTCGTCATCGCCATCGCCATCGTCTTCGCCGAAGCCGTCTCCGCTGGGTCGAGAGCAGGCCAGCAAGGCACCGTTTGACACGGAGCTCAAGGTGGAAATGGAGATGGTTGCTCCATCGCCAGTGGTCGCGGACAGGAATGAGATATTGGAGAAGAGCTCTTGAGCCAGTTCTTCTCAACTTTTGATATTTGGAGGTAACAAAACCAAATGCTTTCAGGCAGCCGTGCTCACTTTGAGGTTGCCAAGAGCATCAAGGACGTCGTCTTCGTCGTCGCTCAAAACCTGCGGCAGGGCAACTCCCATCTCGTAAATCTTTGCTCGCTGCAAGATCTCCGCCACAACCCACGCTTTTCTCTTGCTCAGCGGCCTCGAGGGGTTGAGCCTCACCTGGAAGAAAGGAAGAATCGTCGAGCAAGAGAGAATAGGGGAGCACGCACCCGGTCGCCGATGTTGCAAGCGTTGGCCTCGTCGTGTGCCATGAGCCTGGTCGTCTTCTTGACGTATTTCTTGTACAGTGGGTGCTGCGTGAATCGATCCACCGCCACCACCACCGATTTTTGCATCTTGTTAGACACCACAATGCCGATGATCCTCCGCATTCTCTCGCACCTAAACCCTAAAAAGTTTTCCGTGCTAGCCCAGCTAGGGCGACGAAAAGAGAATCAACAATTTCCCTTAAACCCTTGTTTGTCTACAAGGTGATAAATTTTTAACGGCTTTTTAATCTATTAAATTATTAAATAAGAGTTATTTTTTAATAGTTATACTCATTGTTACTTCATAAATAATGTTGTTTAATATTGAAACTTTTGATTTAAATTAAGTTCTCGAGAATTAAGAAATGGTAAGACAAAGATTGTTCATTATTTTCCTTGAGAAAAAATAATTATATAGTATTAAAATTTTAAAAATTATTATTTATAAAAAATCAATTATGTTTAACGAAATTTCAAAATTTTACAATTAGTTTTATTTTGAAAATACAATTTTGTGAGTTTGTGAAAACGTAAGAGTCCCGCTACAGCACAAGTTTGAGTTGTTGTAGGACTATTCAGTGAAAATTTCTTAGTCAATGAAACTAGATCGTGGCATTTGATTTTGTTTGATGCCTCTTTATTTTCTTATATAGCATTGTACTCAGAAAAACTTCTAAATGTAATTAATTAAAATTAAATTATAAAATAATTAAAAATGTGAGATGAAAGAATCAAATGTGGAAAAACTCTAACTCATTTAACAAAAATAAATAGTTAAATAAAATGCTATTACTTAATTATCCAAATGTCAAAAAATATTAAAGAAAAATATGGTTTTTGGTGAGATAAAGTTAGAAACAACAAAGAAAAAAAAAATCTTTCCTTAAGCTATATAGTTATACATGACATTTAACAACATAGCTAACATTATTTTAAAAAATAAAAATTATAAATGTCAAAGAATTCTTAAACACTTTGATCTACGCATTTTTATGAGTCCCATATATAATATGATATATCTATGAAACACAGTAAATAATTGAAAATGACAAAGAAAGAATCAAACACATAAAACCATAGTAAAGGCAAAATTAACTAAAAAAAAGAATCAAAAAAAGAATAAAATATATATTAATGAAATCTTTCTTCTCATCATCAAAGTTAATGAATTAAAAAATTCACTCAAGTTCATAAACATTATTTTCCCATAGTGTAATGTTATTTTATTCTGTTATAACATTATTACATGTTTTATATTTTAAAATGATTAATGTTACATATAGAGGGATCCCAATTTAAATCCCAAATTCATGATTAAATTCCCAAGTTGAGGGCCACTACTATATTATATGTGGTAATTTTTAAAAGTTTTTAATTCACCCTAGTTTGCCTTAACTACCCATTTATTTTATCTCTAAGATTTAGTTTTCTTTTTTCACATGTATAACCAAGTTTCCTCCTAGGTCGACCCATAGGATCCTAGGCCAGGAATTAGGGCCTGGACACTGCCAAGTTGGATGCTTCTAATACCAGTATTACATGCCCATGTTATATATGTCTATTTTGGGTAATTGGGCAATAGAATTGAATAAGGGAAAAAATCTTTTTCTTTGGTGATGTTTGATATAAAAAGTGATTAATTGTAACATTGATTTAAAAGTTATGAATGAACCAATCTAGAGGAGATAACATAATCACACCTCATTGTACACTAACAATATTCCTAAACATGGATAATATTGATACTTCTAAAAATGCACACCTTTATTGATAAGGGTGATCTGACAAAAAGCAAAAGAATAAATCTAAAGTAAAAGTAGAATACCAAAAAAGCCTCCACCAATGTAAATGGGAATAATATTTATTCATTAGGGCAAACCTTCTCAATTAATATGGAAGACTCACTGAGTTTTGTTCCAATGGAGGGAATTTGTGCATATACTGGGCATTTACTGCTAGCCATACACAGAATTCTCTTGGGCATTAAACCTGCGATGCCGTCCTTTAAACCTTTACTCAGACGCGACTTCTCATTGGCTCACTGCCTCCAGATTGTTACTGGGATGAGACAAAGTCAAGCAAGTGGGTTTTGAAAGCAAGACCTCATCCCCATTCCCATTTAGTGTACGACTTATCACTGTTGTGTTTTTCCTTCCATTCATGGATCTTCTCTCCCTCCCAAGTTTGAGTGCCTTAGTGCTGCTTGCTGCAGCTCTCTGGTTCTCTTCTACTAGAAGAAGAAATCCTCCAGGAAATCTCCCTCCAGGACCACTCAACTTGCCAGTCATTGGCTGTCTCCACAAGCTCGGCTCGCTCCCTCACATTTCACTCCACAAACTCTCCAAGAGATATGGCGATGTGATGCACTTGAAGCTCGGCAGCGTGTCCACAGTCATAATCAGCTCCGAGAGAGCTGCCAGAGAGATTTTCAAGCGCCATGGCCTCGAGTTTGCCTCCAAAGCTCCACTGATCTGCGGGAAATACTTTGGCAACGACTACAATGGTCTAGTTTTCAGCCAATACACTCCGGAAGTGAAGCTCTACAGGAAGCTCATCAACACTCACTTGCTCTCCCCGACCAAGCTCAAAATTTACGATGGAATCCGTCGCGAGGAGCAGTGCCGTCTCGCTCAATCTCTCAGAGACGAGCGAGGGAATCCGGTTCTCCTGCGGCAAAAGATCCACGACATGAACATGAACGTTATAACTTACATGCTATTTGGGAAACGCTTCTGTGGACACTACAAGAACACTGCGAATGTCGACGAGTTCGTGCAAGCGATCGTGGAGATGGTTAGGCTGGCCGGGATCTTCAATGTGAGCGATTACATCCCTGGAATTCGCTGGCTGGACGTCCAAGGCCTGGAGAAGAAATACAAGCAGCTCATGGACCGGGTAAACAGGCACCTCTTGTCGATCTTACGAGACCGGCGAGGGGATCCTCCGGTTTTCACCAGCGAGGAGCCCATGTCTTTCATCGACGTGCTCATCTCCATGGGAGAGAAGCTCTCAGACACCACCAAAATCACACTTTTGCTCGTAAGTTTCTCTTGGTCAAAGTTGTTCTTCTTTTAAAGCTAGATGAATCCCACAGGATATGTTGCTGGGTGCTGTGGATACTTCGGCTCTCTCACTGGAATGGGCCATGGCTGAGCTTCTCCAGCATCCAGTCGAATTCTCGAGAGCTCAGAGCCAGATTGATACAGTTGTCGGCAAAGAAAAACTTGTGGACGAGTCGGACATCGCAAAACTTCCATACGTCGAAGCCATAGCCAAGGAAACAATGAGGCTCCGGTCAGTGGCTCCGCTAGCTCTTCCCAAGATCGTCCAAGGAGGCCCAATCGAGCTCGATGGCTACACCCTCCCGGACGGGACTGTGATCTACATCAGCAGCTACTCGATCGGTCTGGATGAGAGGTTCTGGAAAGATCCTCTTGAGTTTCGGCCGCAGCGTTTTATCGACTTGCCAGACATCGATGTCTTTGGCCAAAGTTTCAACTTACTTCCGTTTGGAACAGGGAGGAGAGTTTGTCCCGGTGCAAAGCTTGGATTTGATGCTGTCCAGATGGGTATTGCAACGCTCGTTCAAGGATTTGACTGGAAGCTGGATGGAGATCTTGATGATCCGGCAAAGCTGAACATGGATCAAACATTTGGACTGGTTTGTCAAAAGAGTCAACCTCTTGTAGCTATCCCAATCCCCAGGCTGGATTCTCACGTTTACTAGAAACATTAGCTCATACCAGCTATTGTTTCTTCCATAAAGTTTGCTTCCTCTCCAGGAAAACTATCATAATTTCGTGTGTGACGATCGAGGAACTATCATAATTCAACCATTTGGTTTTCTAGCCTTTCAATGATACAACTGATCAATATAACAATGTATCAATTCACATGGACCATGTGGAAGAAGAGTAATCTATACAATAGTTCCAAACCGTATAAACTCTTACCTCCACAACTGATCTTGGAGGCTGGAGATTTTCTAGAAATGGTGGAAGTGGAAATAGAAAGATATTACATGAAAGTGATCACCTCCCGAAGAGCGACCAAAGAAACTCGTGGAAGAGTTCGATTCCCTACGTGAGCGTACCTCCCGAGTTTATCTTTGGAGAGTGGTTCTTTCGATGTGTCTTTGCCACAAGCTTTGCATCGCCTGTCCACCCATCCAGTTTCAACGTACGCACCCTTCACTGATTGGTCACCCAACATCTTGGCATTGAGAAAAATGAGGACGAAAAAGAAAACAGCCTAGGAGAAAAAAACACTCAAAAGACTTGTAAATACCATCGATTGATTCTTTGAAGAAATCCTTGTAGGTGCCACCGCCGACACGCTGGATTTCTCTCAGGCAAGGTCGGCGAGGGACGCTGATTTGATTGACGAGGCTCGTCAGGCTACAGAGTCGGGCGAGAAAATGTCCCGAGAGCAAGTACCACGTCTTTGAAAAAGAACATCCAACTCGTGCGAATTTCTCATCTCCCTTCTTGACTTTTGTAGTACGCAGCTCTGAGGCGGAAGATTGATGCTAGTCAGAAGCGATGCACTCCCCTCGCCGGGAGGAGTTTCATCCTTTCTATCCTGTGCCAGAAGAAATATACTAACTTTTTTGTGGGGGCTGTGATTAACTTCCCACTGCTGCTGCTTGATCGATCTGCCAAGAAAACTCCCCTTTGTTGCTGCAACCGAAGCTGCCGCCATTAAACAAGAAAAAACGAAAAAAGAAGATGACCAACTTTGAAAGAATCGGACTGGCTTGTAAAGCGGACACGCGTTCTCTTTCCCGCCTCCAGCATTTACATGGTCTTGGGATCTTGGATCAATGCAGGACCAAACAATGTTCTTCACATAAACTGTGCTTGTAAGTTTTCCTTATCTAGAACGGGCCATGGCCAAGCTTCTTCTGGAGTTCTCAAGAGTTGTTGGCAATGGACATTGCTCGGCCTCCCTGGAATATTCCAAAAGCTTTTAAGAAGTTTACTATTAATGCACATTAACGCTAAACAAAAGAAAAAAACACTCTATAGAAATAACATGTTAAGAAAATTCAATGAGCTCTCAAGAAATAAAATACATATCTATTTTTTATGATAGAGTAGAAGTGAAAGAAATTATTGTACTTAACATACTGAAACAACATAATAATAAAAACGCAATTGTTAGTCCTGCACTTGCTGAAGCTTCTTTGCTGCTGCTCTCTATCGTACAGAAAAAATGATCCAGATCATTTC